TATCCAGCGTCGTCTTCGGTCGCTCCCGCGTATTCAGCTCCATCTTCAGCTCCTCCAGGCTATCCCACGGCCTCTTCAGGTTCCCCTCTTGAGCCAACGCCATCTTCAACTTCACTCGTAGCACCTACTCCAATTGTCAGTTCTACGCCAAGCGTCTACGTCCCAGCCACCTCACTTCCGCCAGTGTCAGGGAGCATGACTACAATGTACTCGGCAGTTTCGCCTGTAGCTACTGATTACCCGGCATTGCCTGGGGTACCAGCTTCCGAGATCTCCACGGGCACTGAGCAGCTCGGTATTTATTCCCCTTCATGCTTATTGTCGAACCTCAAATGCTTACTTCACACAAGATTACCCAGCGGCACCTACTACCATGATCACCAGCGCTATTACGTCCTCCGCGACTCCGGACATGTATGGCACGCCTGCTCAACAGACAGGAGGATATGCAGGGTTCGCTGGAGTTGGTACTTGAGTGTCCTGGAGATGAAACTGGTGACTCTGTCCCATGGACTGAAATTGGTGATGCAGCAGCAAACGCTAGGGTTGGCCTGTACTCGTACGCCTGTATCAATTTCCTTTGTTCCACGTGTTGATATTTGGGTAATGTTTTGGGTTTTGGAGTTTGCCCTGGTATCTAGAAATCCTACTGAATCCACTCGTTTACCAAGCGATGCACGATCATAAAAGTAACTTTTTTTTCGAAAGCTGCGTAGCCGTTTCTGATTGACAGGGTACAATCCCGGCTTGTCGGGTTGCTCAGAGAACATGACGTGGGGTTCGCGGATCAATAGTCCGTGCGTCTTCGCGTTGCTATGGCAGGGAAGTAGCGTCGCGTGGGCGGCTAGTGCTGTTTACCACTCACCGTCTGAGCTCGCACCACCACATATTACATAGACGTGCTGCACAACTTCCTTAGACTACCAAAGTTCAACAACCAAACTCACAGCAGGTGCTACCCTTCGACAACATACATAACCCCCCAAACCGTCAAGTTGGCGCGCCTCAAAGAATCCCCGGTCCAGATGGATCCGCCTCCGCCTCTGTCGCCAAACAAGGCACCCTTCTCGCCTGGGATGCCCATCTTCCCAGCCAGTCCCGACCGCGGTGCTGGTTCAAGATCTCCCTACGGCGACTCCAGGGGCTCATCGCCAGTCCTCTCGCCCTCGACACCCAACCTCCGCCCCCACTCGCCCCTGCGACACACCCACCGCCGAACCGACTCGGATGTTTCCGTCACAGCCCTCACCGGCATGTTCGAGAACCTCGAGGTTAAGGACCCACGGGAAGCATGCAAGCGCTTCAAGGAGTTGCTCGACAAGGAGAGGATACGACACGCGGAGAAGTTGAACAAGATCGAGAAGGAACATGCCAAGAAGGAGCGCGACCATGAGTTGTCATCAAGCCGACGCGACGTGCGCATCGACGAGCTGAAGCAAGAACTTGAGCAGACAAAGGAATCGCTTGCGAATGCCGTTACCAAGGAAATATTTGAGAAAAGAGTCAATGCAAGCAAAGCTGCCATCGACAAGTGGGCACAGGCTTTCAAGGACAACGAAGAGAGGTGGAAGAGTATGGACGCCAAAGCTGTAAGTATAACATGCTCTTCTATACAGTTCCACCTATTAACATGTTCCAGACGGAAGCAGCATCGCGAGCCAAGTCCTACGAGGGCAAATACAAACACTGTAAAGCGGAGTACATAGCGGCCAACAACGAGAAGCTCCGATGCTCCGCAATGATACCGCAGCTTCAGGCCAAGATTCAGAGCATCCAGCGTAGCTTGCAGCGGGCCGAGTCAGATGTCAAGTTCAAGACCGATGAAGCCGCCAAGTACAAGAACGAAGTGTACAGCCTGCAGGTGGAGATTGAGAGCGTTAGCAACCGACTGAACGAAGAAGTGCAGACACTGAAAGAGAAGCTCGGTCTCGTCGAGGGCGAGCGGGACGCTCTTAAGACGAGCTTGAAGGAAGAGGAGGTTCTGCGCATCGCTGCGGAAGGCCAGATACCGCTTCCATCGGCCGACTCAGAAGAGACCGATGAATTCGCATCACCTGTTCGATCACCACGCAAGCCACGCAACTCCGCGCGTGAGGACGATGACAAGGAAAACGTGTCGCCAAAGAAGAACGCAGTTGATCTGCGCTTCATTCAGCAGGAGCTGGCAGCAGAGAGACGTGCTCGCGAGCGTGCCGAGGAGCAGATCGACTTCATGAAAATGGAGTGCCAGTTCCAGTGCTGCTCTTGCCGCATCGCTGAGAACAGGGGAAAGCACTACGTCCACGATGACTCCCTCGAAGCCGAGATGCAGCGCATCAAGGTCTCGCTACCCATCTCGACGCCCCCAGCCAGCAACCACGGAGACGATGTCATGGAAGGTGTAGTGATCAAGCAAGAGTCTGTGGAGAACGAGCGTCCCATCACACCGCCTGAGGATGTTGTAGTTAAGACAGAGTCCGAGGAGCCCGAGACCGTTGTCGCCTTCTCGCCAGACACAGGAACCTTCCGCTCTGTGCCATCACCTATGAAGTCTCGTCCGTCAGCAGACATCGTCACACCTGCAGAGCCGTCACCTGTAGTCGAGATGACCGATGCACCAGCGCCCGATGCGGTCGCTCCTGCCAACATATCTTTGCCACAGTCCCGTCCCGCATCGAGAGTCGACTTTATTCTCCCTACCCGCAGGGAGAGCAAGGCTGTAGACATCAGCATCCACGAAGACGCCGTCGACGACGACAGCGAGGACGAGGACATGTCACCACCGACGCCCGACAGGGAGCCCACAGGGCCTACAACGCCCTACCTCACTCGCACTATTACCACAACAACTACCATCCCCCTCCACTTCTCCCCTGCCACTCCAGCGTTCAAGGCTGGCCGTGGGCCTATGACTCCTTCGACTGTAGCCCACGCTGCAGCCAATGCACAGACCCCTGTTCTGGGTGAGCTGTCACTCAACAAGCTAGGCATTGACCGAGAAGCCGCACTCGCAGCGATCCGTGAGCGCAGAGGACGTGCTAGAAGCATGGCCGCTGGTCACGGAACGCCGATGAAGCAGATGGTTGAAGGTGTAAAGGACCGCAGAGACATTAGTGCGCCTGTGACTCGGGTACGAAGTGTATCACGGATACGAAGATGAGCGATCGAGGATGAACGTTGTGGAGGTGGCTGGTGACTGCCGTGCTGACTAGGGTGCAGCGAGAGTCGTGATACCATTGATTTCCTGTTGCGACTTTACCTTGCGCTTAGCGGCATTGCATGGCGTTGGAGGCTATTGCTGCATTTGAACTTTCCCGGCGTTGTCTGTCTGCATGGATGTTTTGCACAAGCAACGACTGCGTTATATACCACAGTTTTGCTTCTTGCTAGTTCTTACGATATTGTAATTGAGTATTGACATGTTCAACTCTGTCTGGTGTTCTGTGCTGAAGTTGCTGTGGATGTGAATGGGTATTCGTGCTTGTGACCACCGTCTTTTTTGCACACAAATTCATTTCTGTAAACGATACGTTGGTTGGTTAGAGCAATGGACCATTTTCTTCGCGTGGTGTTCAAGAAACGAGACGGGCGGGCCCCGGCGTGCACACCTCCGCCAAGCCCCGCTAGCGCACGATTGGCGGTCGAAGCGAACGTCGAAATTGATCGCACTCGAACACCTGGATTATCTCTTGCGACAGCGACTACGAACTTCGACGCCCAACCCTCTTTCTCCCTTCCACACCGACAACCGCCATTATGTCTGACAACGGAGAAATCGAGGTCGAGAACCCCACCGGCATTGCCATCCTCCCCAAGGATGTCACCGACGAGCAGGGCAGCGTAAAGCTGTTCAACAAGGCAGGCTTATTACAACTTCCGCTCGCACGCACGATACTGACTTTTCGCAGTGGTCCTACGAGGAGGTCGAGGTCCGCGACATCTCATTGACGTACGTTTCCCCCACGATATCGCGCCGCATACCCGTATAAAAGGACAATGGTGGCATTGGATACTTTGTATTACGCTGCGAGACCTTCGGCTAACTGAAGCCGCAGCGACTACATCCAGATCCGCTCGCCTGTCTACATCTCACACTCCGCCGGCCGATATGCCGTCAAGCGGTTCAGGAAGGCCCAGTGCCCCATCATTGAGCGTCTCACCAACTCGCTCATGATGAACGGCCGTAACAACGGAAAGAAGCTCATGGCTGTGCGCATCGTCGCTCACGCTTTCGAGATCGTACGTCTACAATCTGCCAGGTTTCGGAATCGCGAAAATGGCATAAAATGCGCGTTGGGAGACGGCTGACATTTCCAGATCCACATCATGACCGACCAGAACCCCATCCAGGTCGCCGTCGATGCCATCGTCAACTGCGGTCCCCGTGAAGACTCCACCCGTATCGGTTCCGCCGGTACCGTCCGTCGCCAGGCCGTCGATGTCTCTCCCCTCCGCCGCGTCAACCAGGGTATCTCCCTCCTCACCATCGGTGCCCGTGAGGCCTCTTTCCGCAACGTCAAGAGCATTGCCGAGTGCCTTGCTGAGGAGCTGATCAACGCTGCCAAGGGTAGCAGCAACTCGTACGCCATCAAGAAGAAGGATGAGCTCGAGCGTGTCGCCAAGTCCAACCGATAAAGGCGTGCGTTCTGTGTATGGGTGTGCATGGTGTCTCTGGGAGGAGTTCTTTCGAATGGCTGTTCTGGTCGTTTTTTGATCGGACAGAATGAGGGATCTTATGCATGGCATGGCTTTCCTAGGCGATTAAGACCTCTTTCATGGTTGCATGACAAAAATGGACAATACGATACCACGTTCAGATGAGCAGTTGCTGCGTGCGAGGTGATGTTGACGGCCACCGACAGGCGAGAGGAGGCCGGACCCGCTGTTGGAAGGCATCGTGTAGCTGTGAAATGCCACTCCATGGATAACACCATGGCCGAAGTCGTGTAGATCTTCGATGAATTCCAGTACATCCAAATTCATCTATGGGTATCTCATCTCTGCACTTTTTATGTACATGTCTATGCTGCCGCCCGCCCTAGCACAGCCCTCTCTAATATGGCTCCAAACTCCTCGAAGCCGACTTTACCACTGTTCTTCTCTCCAAGTCGCTCAGCTTCCGCATAAGCCTTGGCCATGACCTCCTCATCAATCCTAACAAGCCAGTCGTGACCTGTGATCATGATGTGACCTCCTTCGTTTTGTAGTTGCTGCATGAGCCCACTTGCGCGGATCAATCTCTCCACCCACACCCTATCTTTACCCTCCGCGTACGCTGCGTCGACCAGGTCCACCGCGCCCCTCTCCTTCATTGTATCTCTCACGAAAGCGACCACTCTCTCTCGTCGTGCAGCTTCCAATTCGGCCTCCTTTTTCTCCTCTGCCTTCCTCTCCTCTCGCTCCTGTCTTGCGCGCTCGCGAATCTCTTCTTCGACAGCCGCTCGCCGAGCCTTTTCCGCTGCCGCAGTCGCCTCGCGCTCTTCACGGCCTTCTGCCTCTTGTAGACGGCGCATCTCGGCTTCTGAACGTAGCCATTCGTTGTACGCGCGTTGTTGGTCTTTTCGAGCCAGCGACTTGGCTTTTTTGGTGCCGACTACGCGTTGGGTTGGTGGGGGACGGTTCGCGTTTTGTGGTGGGGGGTTCGCGGGGCCGGGTGCGAAGGCGTCGTCGGGTAGTTGGGCTTCTTGCCCTTGAGTATGTGGCCGGTGATGTTGTGGTTCAGGGACATCTTCGAAGTGGGCTTGGTGTGGTGGTGGTGTAGGGGCGCGAGGTGGTCGCGCCGCTTCTACGCCATCGTCCTGAAGGACCAACCGCTCGTCTAGTGGTGCTTGTTCTCCTTCATCCCTCTGTCCTCCCACCGGGTTCCTGATACCTTGTTCGGTCGGGCGATTTGTCTCCTCATTATTATCTCTTTGATCATTGCCCGCCTGCGCTGCTTGTCGTTGCGCATTGTACCATTCGCCGATTTGTGGGGCGAAATATAATGTTCCGCAGAGCACTGCGGTGTGTAGAAGATCTTGCGACAGAGGTGTGCCAGATCGCGTGAACGGAAGGAGGAGATTCAGGATCGTAAATGGAAGAGATAATATGGCCCCCATCGTGATGTTCGTAATTGTATAGTCGATGCTCAGGTTTACGCGTTGACGGAGGTGCGAGTCGACAAATCGAAGCGGGGTTTTCGCGCGAAGGCTGGCTGGTAGCGATTGGAAGCCGCTAGCGGTCCATGTAATTGAGAGGTGAGATCTGCAGTATAATAAGGAGTCGATGCTTGTGCAATAACAGTAGTCGTCGTGACGCTAGAAATGTGCTTCGGGTGAAAGACAATGTCAAGTCAAGTTGATGATGATGCAACTTGCGAGCCCGCTGTAGGGCTGAGCGCTAGTGCCGCGTTGGTCCTAGCTTATCTTGAGCGATCATTCACATGCAACGAAGTGCTCCTGTCGTCAGCACGGCACGAGTCTTACAGACGTCTGCGCAATGACACTTTGAATGCGCGCTTCCATCGTATTTACTGCCCCATTTGTATAGCATACTCGCTCTGATCATATCACCGACCGGAGGCCTGAATCTCAATCCTTCAAACCTCGCATTAGTTTGGACATCACCAAGGTACGAGAGAAACATTGCAGCAGATAATGGTTCCATGAGTGGAGGACCCAATCGAAACTTGGGTATTGGATGGAGGGTGCGTCTCCAATGATATCTCACCTTTTCTTGGAGGGTGCGCCTTACGGCCGTTAGCAAAAGACTCGGAGCCTTGTTCGCCCTCCTCTCCGAACTATCAAGAGAGGGTAGCCAATCGACGGTTTCAGCCCCAGCCATAAGCTTTCCGAATCGTTCAGGCCCTCCGAGGGCACGGCTGCTAAGTGTAACATCGCTATGGGGAATGGACTGCGATACCACCGCTTGACGATACGTGCGGAAGGCATGGGCCGATTGTCCACAGGTCTGGCCGTCCAACATGTGTACGATGCAGGGGATTGGATTGCCTTTATATCTCTGGCCAATTCCGCATTATGATTACTATACTCTTGCAGCTTTGGCTTCAACTTCAACTTGGCTTCAATCTATCCCCGACTCATCACATTCCTCTGTCGACGCTTGTCTGACTCGTATCATTGCCACTCTCCAAGCCATACGATTGGCCCATCTCTACCTTACGCGACGTACATCTCTCGTCTACGGCATATTAAGGCACCTTGCTGCTGGGTCACCACATATTACGCGCCGTATAATTGGTCAATCGAACATCAGTATGGTCGTCGCAACAACGGATGTCTGGCCCAACACGGCAGGCTTCGACACGGACTACGAAGAGCACGAGCCCGTGGAGCTCACCGTCAAAGGCACCATCCCAAGGCATGCTGCAGGTGTACTTTATCGGACAGGTCCGCTTGGCTACAAGGCGAAGACGAACGACGGCAAGATCTGGGCAGCAAGACATTGGTTTGATGGATTCTCATGTGTCCATCGTTTCCAGATCGACTTTCCGGACGCGGACGGCCCAGCAAAGGTTACATACCGTTCGCGACGCACGGTGGATGAGTACCTTGAGATTGTTCGTACTACCGGAAAATTGGATAGTACTACGTTTGCTGCAAAGCGTGATCCATGCGAGAGCTTCTTCTGGAAGGTAAGTCCAGACACTACGCAGTGCATGTGAGACATACACTGACTCCGTACGTCCATCTCTTTAGGTCATGAGCATGTTCCAGGCATCACAGAATGAGCGCAATGTCGGTGTTACGCTCTCCATTAACATGGCAGGAAGCGACAAGCTTACCAAAGGCGCGAAACCGACGACTAATGGTCACACCAGCGGCATTGAGACTTTGCATGCCCGAACAGATTCTAGTGCCATCAAGGAGATCGACCCAGAGACGTTGGAGCCGCGCGGTTATGCACGTCAGGAACGCCTTCACCCGGAGTTGAAAGGGCCTTTCTCTGCCGCTCACGCCAAGTCTGACCCCCAGACTGGTGACATGTTCAACTTCAATCTCGACTTTGGATACAAGAGTACCTACCGCATCTTCCGCGTCTCGGCAGCGTCCGGCGAAACAGATATTCTCGCTAATTTCCATGGCACGCCTGCATATATTCACTCGCTGTTCTTGACTGAGAACTACGTCATCCTCTGTGTCTGGAACAGTCACATCACATGGGGTGGCATTTCGCTCATGTACCACAAGAATGTCGTCGACTCTATCGCACCCTTCGACCCGAACTCCAAAGCAACATGGTACGTTGTCGACCGCCGCGAAGGCAAGGGGCTTGTAGCAACGTACGAAAGCATGCCTTTCTTCTGCTTCCACAGCATCAACGCCTGGGAAGAGCCATCAGCTTCTGACCCTAGCAAGACCGACATCATCACCGAGCTCAGCATGTTTGAGAACCTAGACATCGTCAAGCGCTTCTACTACGACAACATCATCTCTTCTATCGACACGCCTGACTATGAGGGTGAGAAGCGCAGGCCGTGTCTACCGATGCAGGCGCAATTCCGCCTTCCAAGCGTCAACGCTGGTGTTCCTACCACGATGCCTGCTGAGCTTCTGTTTCAGGCCGACAAGTTTAAGTCGATGGAGTTGCCCACGCTCAACCCTGCATACCTGACTAAGCGCCATCGCTACACATATGGATGTGCCGACCGTCTCCGGTCTTCGTTCTTCGACGGCCTCGTCAAGTTTGACAACAAAACTCAGGAAGCCATCTACTGGGAAGTTGATGGTCACACGCCTGGCGAAGCGATCTTCATCGCTGATCCTGAAGGTGTGGAAGAAGACGATGGCATACTGTTGAGTGTGGTCTTGGACGGCTATGCGGAGAAGAGCTACTTGCTCGTGCTCAACGCGAAGGACTTGACGGAGATGGGAAGAGCTGAGATGGCGGGGCCGATGAGCTTTGGGTTCCATGGGACGTTTAAGGAGACGTACAAGACATATCGAGGAGATGTATAAGTGAGAGTGGTAGCACTCAGTAGTGAATGCCTCACTGTCGCTTTGACGCTCAAAACTTCGCAATGTTGTATTTCAGTCTCTATTTGTTGCACTGCCGAATTGCACCAATGGTTACATACGAACGTTGTACACTGATTACAGGTCATCTATTCAATTACCCATGACATCCATTCTTTCGGTTGGAAGACTTCGCAACAGATCCGGTACATACTCTAGGAAACAGATATCGATCACCATCTTATCAGAATGTATTTACTGTAATTCGGTCATACCCTCCTCTCTTTGTATCCGAGCTTGAATACCCGCGATGAACCTTGCTCTATTTTCCACCAATATTCGCACGCTTTCGACGCTTCCGATGCGCGGTAGTCGGTCAGCAGTTTGTGGTCGCAAAGTCGGATTGAAGATGAGCATCCTGCGACACATGGGACAGTTGCCATGAAGAAAACGACTCGTTTGATCTTGAAGCCACTTTACAAGACACCTCTCATGAAAAACGTGTTGACAAACGCCAAGCTGAATGGTTGATGTTGGCGATATAGCGCGGATGTTGTTTTCGGGGTCGGGAGTCGCCGGGGTCGCATCCTGTAGCTCGAAATCAGCTGTTGTGTCGTTGTAGCAGATGACGCATACGGTTTCGTGTTCTTGGAAGTAGTTGTCTTGGAGGACGATGTATGGAAATCGTCCAAACATGTGGGTCTCGGTTCGAGAAGTAGACATTGTGATATATTGGGTGGCCGGCGGATGGCGAAAATTGTGATGATGCGACGCTATCAAGAAACATGTTGTGTACAGATGCGGCTTGTGCTATATATAATGTAGCATCTCGTCCTTTGAGCAAAGTATCAGCAAATATAACCATGGTGTCGCCTACTCAACTTTGGTTCACTGCGCGCACGTGCATCCATCTTGCGAAGTCATCAAGAACCGAGGTAGCTATAAGTGTTGGACTTTACTTCTAACTCTATTACATCTGGTACGTTGCAGAAGATCAATCCCCGTCCAGGGAAGATGGTAGTGCGCAACCAAATACTGGAAGTTCACGACTAATGACCGAGCGTGAGATCCAACTTCACACACATAGTAAGCAAGGTTTGGCGGCTATACGTTTTTCTAGACTCGTGCCATGGGAGGGCCCTTGATGGCGTGTGCGATTCCGTATTTTGGTTGCCATCTACTTTATCCACTAGTACTGCCATGACTCAGAGCGACAAGCCACTTACGACTCCCGCAATACATCACTATTCCCCACGCACAAGGTACTACTCAAATGAGCGAGATCGCAGTCATCACACTCACGTTGACTAAGAAAAAAGCTAAACATACCTGCAGCCTACATTAACATAGAAGCATACAAAATAGATAATCTATCGTTAATGTAGGCTCTAGACCTGTTTAGCTTTGTCCCTGTATAAGGTGCACTTAAAGAGATGTTGCGTAGATGGAAGCTGACACAGGGTCGATCTGGCCAGAAATGTCAATAGGAAGAAGCGCAGCGGCAATTGGACGGGAAAACACGTTTGGAAGCCACGCAATCGCGGCTTGAAAAGCGTGCCTTTCAATGTGCAACGTTCGAAGGAACGGGAAAGAAAGAGAGCCGAGCTAGTTCCATCAACCTTGTCAGTGGCCGAAACGCGAACAGGGCTTATCTAGGTGCTCGAAAGTGATCGAGTTGTGCTAGTGAACTAGTAACACTACAGCCTCTGTTTAAATACGATGGAAGCCGAGGCCAGCGCCTAAACTGTACATCTATTATATGTGACCTTGCTCTTGTGATCAACCAGATTCTTCTATTTGGTTTCTTGAGTTGCCGCGATTAGAAACCCGGTACTCATGGCCTTTCTTGTGTGTGACTTATGCTTGGAAGGTCCGGCGCAAGTGAATTAGGGGAAGAAGGAAACCGTCGTAGCCGTGCTTCTCACGATAAATCTGCTAACCCAAACTTGGCACCTGTTTATGGACCTTCTTTCTACTCAACCACTAGCCACGATCACTAAAGCTTTACCCTCAGCTCAGATTCCTCATACACCACCCCCTTCGCTCACCTCAACCTTGAGGCTGAGCAGTATGTCCAACGACATTGCCATCGATGCGCGCCTTAGCGCTTTCTTCGATGAGAGTGTAGACAACCTCCAGGATGACCACTACGTTAAGCATGACGATGTATGCGATATTTGCAGGGCTGATCATATGGCTGATCCATCGGAACCCATCGAGCACGCATCCTCCATCACGCGCACTGGTGTAGTCCAGACGAAGACCTGTCCCTTGCCTCACATTTTCCACAAGCTCTGCTTATACGCCTGGATGCACGCAAAGCTGCGCAGAAACGCAAATGCAACCTGCCCGATGTGTCGCACCACGCTCATCGTTTCTAGTCCCGGTCCATGGAGGGAGTTGGTCTTGGAAGAATCAGAATCACTCGCTAGACAAATCAACGAACTATTTGAGATGTTGGCAATTCTTAGAGAGCAAAATGAGGCAGAAATGGTTCAAATAAACGAAGCCAGGACAGCTCTGAATAGATTCAGGGCAGGAAGGGATGAGACTGAATGACCGGTTTGCGATGCGGAGCGTTATTGCGGACAACACCGCGCATGCGCAGCAAATTAAAGTCCACTATCTAATGGCTTTGTCAATATCAGCAGCGCTGGCAGCTATTGTGACCCTGCGCTGAACATGACTGTTCAAGTGGTCGCGGGTCATCGCCAGACAGTTTTCTGACCATAGGTCTTTGTCGCAGTCCTGTCTTGGATTCTGGTACAAGAAGGCAAAACTTCCAAGACTAGAAAATATCATTCTGCCATTCCCACTTGGTCATGTTGTCTTAACAAGCTTGTGATCGTCCGGTCGCTTGGCGGTTTCTTATGTCTCGTGCATTCCGAAGTGTCCCGATATAGCCTCGCCGACCGCCTCCGAAAGTCCGAGTTGTACCCGATTCGCCACATATGCAATGCTTTACTCAGGCTAAATTATGAAAACTAGCTTCTTGACCAATGATTGTAATTGTAGTCTTGAAAATGCAAGACTGCAGTGGGTCCTTCTTATCAAGGTATGCAGTCTTTCGGTATGAGGTTTTTCGGCGATGGCTCGGCGGAACAATTGTTGGGAGCGATGCGTTTCGACTTTGCGATAGGAGAAGTATATAGTGAGGCGCCAGACCGACAATTCGAGTGAGGGTATCTGTCAAAGCAAGCGAACGTTAGCAATCATCTTCTCTCGTTCTGAACCTACAAGTCTCCATTCCATTCAAATATCCAATCTCACACTCAATCTCAATACCCTCAACATGGTCGCGCAAACATCCAAGCCGTCGAGCCGCAGCTCTTCCGTGACGGCGCCAGTTGAGCGCTCATCCTCACCAAGCATGCATCATGCACTTGCGACTTCTTCGTCTCTGAAGTCGATGCTCAAGAAGCCCTTCCAGGGCTGGTCCAAGGATCTCCTTCGCGCAAGGGATGACGACGACGATGACTACAACTTTTCGAGTGGTATGCGCCGTGGAGCTCAATACTATCAGAACGACGCCTGAGATGGCTGGGGATACTATGATCCGCGACTGATCGAGGATGAGGCCGATGCCACACTACGGTCTCCCAAACGACCTTGAGCCCAATACCTATGCGCGTTGACCGGGTGGTAATATCGAAGGGGCACATCAAGGCAGTGGTATATGGTGTCAGGGCGGCAGTGACTCGAGGTTTCGGTGGCTGGAAGAGCTTGTCTCATGCGGCGGGTATGGCTGACACGGTTGTGTGGCAGGCCTGGCGTTTGTGCTGCGTTGTATTGCTTTTACGAGCGCGATACCCTTGATTTTGACCTTAATTTACACAAGTTGTAATGCACACTTAGTTCGGCAATGCGCTCTATCGTACGAAGGATTGGATGTGTTGTGTGACGATACACGCGACTGGAAAGCTCGTGGAGACGCCTGCCCACCATTCCGACAATCCTGAGCTCATGTTATGTCAGCAGCGCTTGACGCACCCGCTTCTCCCACTTCATCCCCCAACTCCACCGCGCAAAATCTCTCACAAATCGCGCACTTTCGAAATTGCGGCCTTCCCGGACAACTAGAGCCTGCATAGGGCTGGTATATGTGCCCTCGCTTGCGGTCTCGGTAAAGTCATTACCCAACGGACTGGCTCAGAGAGCGCCGCACCGAAACATGCATGGGCCATGCTGCAAGCCACAGACTCTTCCGTCTGTCAAGCCTGGCTCGTACACGAATCATCAACATTGCATCGAGGTCACACGCGTGAAGACGAAGTATCTTTGAACACAGCAAGCATTCAATAGTAGACGATCTTGCTGACTGAGTATGAGAATTTGGCAGCTCCAACTCATGGCTTCGCGTGCGCATCACCAAGCAATATCGACGTCACTCCACAGCATACTCGGCTTGACTCGACGAAAATTGCGGAGGATTTGCGCGCAATTTCTTCTAGGCAACAGTCGCACGAATAGACGCAGCTAGACCATATCAGATGCCGGTGTGCCTAGAAAGGCGGCTTGGTGGTCTTTAGGGGGCCTGCGCCGCCCGGTTAGGCGTGCCGCATCATGCGCTGTCAGTTAAGCGATCAGCCTCCGAATCTCCCCAATAAGTAGACTAGATATCCCATACTCGACGAACCTTTTCTTCATCGCCAAGCATCACTCGTTACTGCCTGTCGTTCGTTGCCAATCTTTTTAAGACTCTAACCTAATACTTGTTACTATACCCCATATTCTTCGTCTCAATCAACACAGCAAGATGTCTAAGATCCTCTCCGTGGCGCTTTTCGCCTCTTACGCTGCGGCTCAAACGACCGCTCAGGTCTGGATGCCCGGTCTGGGCGATATGGGCATTTCGTACGAGGCTTCTGTGGTCAGCGTTGACAACGACCGCACTATCATGTCTGTGGCTATGCAGGGTATTACCCTCGACGACTCACTGGTGCGTAACAACGAGTTAAAATCATCGATAACATTCACTGATCTGTTGCGACTAGGCCGATGTCCCTTCGACCATCACTGTCGGAGGCAACACCTACTATGAATACAACGCCTCCAATGACCACTACGGCGTGACGGCGACCGTCTCCGGCGCATGCTCGCGCCAGAACACCGACGAAGCGGAGGCAACCTGCACCCAAACTACCATTGGCCTCGAATCCGAAATGAGCTCTCTATGCGCTGACCCAGAATGGGCTTCCTCCCTCTGCCCGGACGGTGTGGATGCCGCTCTCTCTTTCAGTACAGTGTTCCCCGAAGGCTACTTCGACCTGTTCGCCGTCGTCATCACTGAGGGCGGTGACTCCCTTCCCAGTGCCACAGCGGCCGCATCAGTATCGGCCGGCAGCGCTTCCGTAACAGCGTCCCGTTCCACTGTCACATCCGCAGCTTCTGGATCTGCCACTGCTACCGGCTCCGACTCTGACGCAGCGGCAAGCACTGGATCGGAATCTGCTGCTAGCTCTGAAGCTTCTGCCACCTCCAGCGGTCCTGAAGAAGTAGCCACTGGCGCTGCCCACATGGTTCAAGTTCCAGCTCTGGCTGGTCTTGGTGCCGCAGTTGCCGCTTTCTTCTTGTAAAAGTTTAGTAGCGAGATAGTCGCTTTCATCTGCGCATTTCGAACGAGTTCTGGCTTAGCGAATACCCTTTATGCATCTACGCGTCGTCACTCAATACTTCCGCTTATAATACCACTCTGATTCATACCCTCACTTCTCGTATCACTCTTATACAGATACTGTCGGAGACATTGCCTCCGATCGCTTCTTCAAGCATACCATTCTCTCTCCTTTCTTACCAAAGCAGCTCTTTCCTTCATCATCCGTCATGACTTTCCCACAGTACACATGTCCCTCACAGTCTTCCCTTTTGCATCGCCACCTTGCCACGTCCCCACCCTTCTCGAGAAAGTAGCAACCTTCTTTACATTCATACTCTTTTTGAACATGCGCACACCTCATATCGCATGGAAACCATGCGCTTCGGATAATGGCTGTCTTGGTGTCTAGAACATCGATATCTTTGAGTTCGAAAAGATCAAATTTGGGATTGGTATTTGATGCAGGCATTTTGTGCCCGGCAGCCACAAGATCTGTGTTTGCAGATGATTTGTTGCTGAATATGCTGGGTAACCAGCGCGGCGGTGGTCTAGGTGGAATCAGGACCGTCAAGGTGTATTTCGTGGTGTTCGGCTCCGTTTCGCCTAAAGGATCAAAGTAAGCCGACATATCCGACTTCGGGCGTAGTTTACCTGAATACGAGAGTATTTGAACAGTCAAAAAGTCCTGGAAGATTTGCGCGAGACAAGGTGGCGCAGTATCAGCAGACCGGGTACGAAGATGATAAGGAAGAAACGGCTGTGTCCATATGTGCGCTTATTGAACAAAGACTTGATGGTGTCAGTGTTCGCATGTGACGCACGGTGTGAAGAGGGCTATGGGCGACAAACGGATGCGTTGTGTGAGACAATGGTGAATGCTTGATTGGTGATTGGGGGTGCGCTAACACTGCCGCACATATTCCGCTTGCGCAGTCACAACCGTTTCGCGATGCAGGCTGTAGAAGGTTTTGGCATAAACAACCAACAACCGCCCCAACTAAATCGAGTTCGCCTTCTTCAACCGGTCGCTCTCCCTTTCCTCCCTCACATGCTCGTCATAGCCCTCAATACACCTCAGCCTTTCCGTGGGGCTCAAATAAACCATCCCACCATCCTTGCACCAACCCTGCCAAATCTTAGGCCGTCCCCTTTTCTCCCTGCGTACAGTTTCTCCTCCAATGTCCACCTCTTCATTTTCCATGATGCTGCCAGCTGCCCACTCAATGACGTAGTGTTCCTTCAGGTACTCTGCTTTGCATTCGCGTCTAGAGGCTAGGCAGCTGCAGCGAATGCTTTGTGGGATTTTATCGCAGTCGACATCGAACGTGATGGTTTCGTTGATACCAATCAGGTCAGCGTGTGAGAAGCTGGAGTCGGAGAAGTATTGTTGCGACGTTGCGGGCGCGACAAGTGCGGTGATGCGGAACTTTGGCTTCTCTGGCGTGAAGTAGGCCGTGAGCTTGCTGAAGATGCCTGACATTGTGAATGGTATGTGGTTTTGGGCGCGGGCGCGGGTGTCGTTTGGATACGCTTATGATTTAGACGTAAGTTCTGGGATTTTGTTTGAGAGTAGGCTTGGTATTTGGAAATGAGGTTGTTGAAAGGAAGGAATGACCGAAAGCGTGTTCTTTTATTAAAAAAAATATCTCATGTATTGACTCAAATGCACAACCATGGTTCTCGTGTTCTGGCGAAGACCCCTAATAGCGAGCCACTCACAGAACTCGTAATACTTCATCGTACCAAATCTCAAGATCAGAATCTGTGCTACCACTAGGGGTAGCTACAATTCGAGTCGCATTGTATGCAGAAGATATCATGGAAGAAGTATACGTAACCTTAGCAGCAGCCTCTTTGTCAAAATTTGACAGTATATATGCGCCACGGTCTCTTGCCATCTCTGTCGCTACCGTGTGAAAAATGCCATCACATACAGAACCTTCATGAAAGTTGTACCGAGTCTGGTAAAGCTAGGGAAGATACGACCAGAATTTTGCGTCGCTGCCGGTTCGCTATCACTCGTTATGCGAAAGAGCGATGACCGACGTCTCGAGATCCAGTATAGCAGCCGCCGGCCGCGCAACACGTTGAAGTTCGGCAGCGCTTCGCGAGACACCCATTGGTACACCACGTACGATCTTGTTGGCCGGACTGCTAAACCATGCAGCGTGTGTAGTTGTCGCATATGCTGGAACCTGTTCAACTTCCAATTGTACAGATCTAGCCGCAGGAGGCTGATGGGAGAGTGGAATGGGAGTCGACACAAGGTCTCTGCCGTCGAAGAGCGAGCTGAATATTATGCTCGGGCCTAGCGAACTCAAAGGGCTTATTGTGCGGCGCGTGGAAGACGACTTCACGGGCTCTAACGTGGTATGCCTGTCATCGCCTAGGCGTTCTGTTTGGGGTTTCGAGAGCTTCCTCTTGTCTGAATTCTCTGCGGCGTCCTCCGTGACGTTTTCGGTCTGTGTAGCAGCTTCGGGCTCATGTGGACGTGACTCATGTCCCAAAACTGCGGGTATATCCCTCGCGCGACCAGAGGATGAGGAGCAGACGGTACTGCGAAGAACGCTTTTGGTGACCATACGTTTAGAGTCCGATATTGTATAGACTGCCGGCAGCTGTACACTCATCGAAGGGGTTGTGGCCATCGTAGACGATTCGGAAAACAGGCCATCATGACTTGAGAGTTCAGAGCATGCTATCGAAGATACTCCGCTTTCAGACGATTCTTTTGGTTCTTCTGTATCGAAGGAGAGTGCGAGGGTAGACGGTGTATTGGAAGGCAAGTGTCGCTTCTGCTTCATAGCAGTGTTTGATCGCTTCGGCCTAGACTTTGTCGCGAAGACATGAGACTTCTTCACCCTGCGGGACATAACCAGAACGGGATCACGGCCCAGTCGAGAACTCCAGAGATGTTGTAAGCGAAGCGAGATTTTGGTTGATCCAACTAAGGTCTAGGTTGAGCTTGGACGCCGGGTAGTTGGTTTGATGGCTAGAGTAAATTGTCAAGGAAATGTATTGATACCCGCTCAGTTAGATGGGTGCGCGGAGGCTTATTCGAGACTCGGCGGGCAGTGCGTGAAAGCGATTAGGGTTTCACAATTTGGATCGCTACCGAGTGAACATCCATCGACCAGGCTGGATTGCGATAGTTGCGCGCCTCGAGCTGGGGCTTGTGGCGAAGCTTCTTTTGTTGCTTGTGGGAGTGAATTGTCGTAGGCTTGACATTCTGGATCAAATTTAGTGTTGTGGTATCGGCAAATGGTGGTGACAAAGACATGGAGGTTTGTTGCGCAGTCGTAGATGCCTCGTTGTTCAAACACTAGTCCGGTTACGGCTAGCTTCTGGTTCGTACGACCGCAAACTGCAGCTGGAGTTGCTGCCACCCGCTGTCAGACATGGATACCATGCAAGCCAGGATCGATTCTTCCGGAAGCTAGTACCCCACCTTTGTAAGCATGTCATTCCCGTTTCTCAAGTCGCTTTTCGCCTTAGAACTTACTCTCAAATCTGCAATCATGGACCGGGAGCACGCCGGTGAGATGACCTCTAGGGTCGACGCGAGCCACGATGAGCCGAGTTCGAGCAATGTGACAAGCAGTCGGGAAAGGAAGCTACTGATGAAAGTCGACGCGTGCGTCCTGCCTACCGTCATCATACTGTATCTCCTGTGTTTCATCGATCGAACGAACATCGGTAACTACATTTTGCGCATGGCTTGTCTACACCCATGGACTGACCACATCAGGCAACGCCCGTATAGCTGGTCTAGAGGAGGATCTCAAGCTCAAGGGATATGACTACAACGTCGTATTATCGGCGTTTTACGTGTCGTACATAGTCTTCGAGATACCAGCAACGCTGTGCTGCAAATTGATCGGTGCGCATAACGACTAGAGCCCTTTGTTCAATTCTGATATAGCAGCAGGCCCTGGGTGGTTTCTGCCGATGACTTCGTTTGGCTTCGGTGCCATGTCTATCGCGACAGCCTTCGTACGAACCCGTGCTCAGGCGTGCGCTGTTCGATTCCTGCTCGGTATCTTCGAGGCCGGCGTAATGCCTGGATGCGTTTACTACCTGTCACGATGGTACAAAAGGTCGGAATTGACCTTTCGTCTTGGGCTGTGGTTATCAATGGCCCCTCTCGCCGGGGCTTTCGGCGGCATGATCGCTTCGGCTATCTTGAACTTGAGCTCCGTCGGTTCTTTCCATGGTTGGCAGATGTAAGCAAACAACCTGAGTGGTGGAAGTTGTTGAATAACGAGAAACAGGATCTTTGCCATTGAAGGCATCGTCACCATGTGCCTTGCTCTGGTGTCCTTTTTCACACTGACTGACCGCCCGGACACTGCACGGTGGATGACCGAAGATGAGATACGCATGATAGTTGGCAGGATAAAATCCGAGCGTCTCAACCAAACCGAACTGCTCGACAAGATTGATACGTTGAAGCTTCGACGCGGCTTCTCCAACCCAATCACGCTTGCGATATCGTTCATCTTCCTGCTTGACAGTATCACTGTCATAGCCATCTCGTTCTTCTTGCCGACCATCGTTCGCACTATTTACCCAGCGCGCTCTATCGTCCAACAGCAGCTCTTGACAGTGCCGCCGTACATCGTCGGTGTAGTTTGCACTATTCTTATCACGACCGTCAGCTGGCAAATGAACTCTAGGCAGACGCTCATTGCATTCACGGGGCCGTTCGTGATTGCTGGGTATGCGATGTTCCTCGCAACGATGAACTCAAGTGTTCGATACGCGGCAATCTTCCTTTGCGCATCAACGTGCTTCTCGTTGGCCGCAATGACGAACGCACAAGTCAGCGCAAACGTGCTTTCCGACTCTGCACGCAGCATCGCCATTGGAACCAACGTCTTCTTTGGATACGTTGGCGCCCTTATCGCGAGTTGGACTTATCTACCTGGCGACTCTCCCCGCTATGCCGTCGGTAATGGTATCAACTTGGGTTGCGCAGTGACATGGACCATCGTGGCGATTTTCACTAAGCTCTGGATGACCCACGACAACAGGAAGAGGGACAGGAGGCAACTAGAATCTCATACAGAGCTTGCGTCATTATCAGATGATGAGATCGCGAATCTCGAATGGAAGCATCCTGCGTGGAGATGGAAGCCGTGACTGACGCCATATTCTTCTCAGGCGCTCCAGAAACATTGCGGCGTTCATGGAAGGAGCCCACATAATTCATATTAGCGCCTGCCACAGAGGGTACAATGGCCGATCTGGTCGGCAGTGCATGCGAACAGGTTCCCTTCACAGCAAAGCTCTCTTCTGGGGTCGTTAGCTATTTGCAGTGTCCTTATATAAGTTAGCTACCTGTATACAATCCAGATTCACACGACAGAGGCGTGGAGTCGCAAACTTACATGCCTTTGTTCCTTCACAATCGCTTGTTCACTGCAAACAGATTCACCCACCTGATGCATTTCCACGAACATGTCTATCGACTGCAAGCTCTGTTGCCAGTCGCCGGACTCAGTCTTTACCAACTCGCAGACCTCGTTCAGACAGGTATGGACAATTTCCTCAACACGCAACTGCATCCCGCAGACACTTGCAATATCTGTACCGAGCACTTCAGCGCGGACCATCAGCCTGTAGCGCTGCCTTGCAAGCACATCTTCGGTCATGAGTGCATCAAGAAGTGGCTGAAGGAGGGTAGGGGAAATTCAAATGCTTGTCCAACTTGCCGTTACGTCGTGGTCCCCAGATCAAACCCACGCGCAACCTTCGATGTTGCCTCAATCTGGAAAGCGATATGCGACCAGCCGCCCGAACGCCTTCATGAATTCATGAAGAAGATATGGTCTGGCCTGGAGATACTTTGGCAGCGAGAGCCCACCGGTGCCTTCACAGTAACATCCATTCTCGACCAAGCCATCATCCCGGCCCTTATCAACACTGCACATCGCACCAATGCGCCCGACGATCGGCGGCCAGACTCTCTTTTGGATTGCTACAATCTTGTGGCCGCATCTTGGGACTCCCTGGGCCGACCCAACATAGCGACTGGTCTCGCGATCCCGCTGGTTCGGCTTGCACGTTTGATGGCCAGCGCAGGTGCTGTGCTACCAAAATGGCTGACCACGAACCCACGCGCAAACAGACTAGTCTGGCGCGCAAATGCCTGTCTACCCATCGGCGAAGTAGACATATCGTGGCGATACATCATCGAAGCCTCTCAGGAGATCGAGTCGCCTTACTTCCCCCTGCTGCACCTCTATACCGTGTTCATCAGCCAGAGTATCGCACACTTTCCTGCACCAAGGCCATATCCCACCAAGCGTCATGAGATCATGAATCTTGTGGTTGAGCGTTGTTGTGAGAAGATTGGTGGTGGAGGGGCGGCTTGGAAGGGCAAGCCGGGCGACGAGCTCAAGGATGTTTTGGTGGGGGTATACGACGAGTTACGACGATACCAGCTGGAAAAGAACCGGATGAGTCTGCGAGGTCACGACGGAGAGGACGCGCTGGTCAAGGGCATATGGGCTCTCGCTGGCTGGGGTGGTGGAAGAGGTAACGCGCGCTGATGGCATTGCGTAGGTGGGGCCATTCGAGCCATCTTAATTCTATGTGCTTTATGAAGTTAGCATCCTTGTATCGATTTAGAAAGATAAGGACATTGAACGCATACCTGAATTGTAGAAGGATACCAGCATGACTTGCGAATGATTATGCTCACTGGTCGCCGTTAGCGTGTTCCTGGAGGCTTGGCGGATTGCGACGCGTCCATCTCGCGCGGGGCTGCGCGCCTCTCCTCCCGTCGCACCATCAATTGTACGGATTTGTCGGTAGATCCCAGAAACCCACGCGACTCTGAGCCATCCGATATTATCGCCATTGGCTTGTACAGTAATAATTTTGAGGATGACTTCAAGCCCGCCGCGCCTGCCGATGCTTGTCTTGTTGAAGCATCCTCTGCAGGAGTGAGACTTCGATGAACCTGGCAAGACCGCGACACTGCCGCTCACGTTCGCCATATCAGACTCCATGGAGCTTCTCCCAAAATATCCGAGATGAGCTACTTTCAATAACCTTTGAACGAAGGCTGAACGAAGACTGAACACAGCCGCACATCTTGCAAAACGTGGAAGCGATCAAGCAGAGTTCCTTCACGAACACGGCAAGATGCCTTGCAGCATTTCTGTTTCAGAAGGTTAATAAAAGTGAATCCAATACGCTAGCCAGCTCGGATACTCGAAGACGGCAACTGTCAGTTTGCCGGACAGATCATAACGGCAGGTGTAAAAGACAATACAAGCACATTAACTCGCTTTGAGCGTACCACTAAGAGGCATTGGTTTATATTGACATCCTAGACAAGCAACAATTATCCGCCACAACGGCATTACTCCCTTGAGATTTTCGGCAGTCTACGCGAATGCGATGATGTCTGGAACGATACATAACTCTCCTATCTAATCATGTCAAGGTCTCGACCCTTTACGAGTAACCTTTATCACATCTGACAGAATGCACTTCTCGTCTCATCTATGGCTGACGGCTACAGCCGCGGTACTCTCAGCTACTCAATCGTCGGCCGAATGCACGCGCGAAGGTCTTCTTGCAGCCGCAGACTCTTATCTCGCGGCTCAGGTTGCGGGCTCTCCTAGCAGTCTCAGCCTCGCGCCCACGAACTTCACATATCTGCAAAACAACAAGGCTTCCAACATTGCGACTGGTCTCCTCTCAACGCCCTTCGTCATCGACCTCAACCGCTCATCCACCGACACCGAAGCATGCGCAAGCTACACAATGTGGATCAGCGCTTCTGGGAACAAACCCTACGTAGTTAGCACCCAGATCCGCCATCTGAATAACGACACATCGTCCATCAGCTCCATCGATACCGTAGCGGCTACAACCGGCGACCTATTCTTCGACGCGAAGAAGACCCTTTCCTACATCCGCGCCGAATCGTGGTCTACCCTTCCCACCACCTCACGACCCTCACGTGCTCTCCTCAAGTCTGTCGGTGACGCCTACCTCGACATGTGGACGAATGCTACTGCTGCCGACACTATACCCTGGGGCACTCAATGTGAGAGGGTGGAGGGAAGCATGTATACCAACCCTTGTGGGGCGAGTCTTCCGCACGGAGGGAGTCAGAAAGCGAATGGCATGAGGCGATACGTTATCGATGAGAGTATCGGTAGTGTGCAGGTCAGTTGCCAGTTCGATAGCTTGGGAGCTTGGCCGGACAGTCACGAGATAAGGGTTGAGGGTGGGAAGGTGAGGTACGTACATACCGTTACTATACTGAGGGGTGTCGGCGCTTGAGATGAGCTATGGCATTTCTATTACAGTCATTGTATAAGATCAATCGTCTCAATTATGGCTCTTGCTCGTCTACTTGATATCAGCGCTCTTGACAACTGTGCCAAACACATCTGCCAGCTCCGCCAACGCCACCCTGGTGACTTCGTCGCCCTTAACACCAGGTATATCACGGTCGCCGATGGCATCCTCTACCAGAATGACTTCGTATCCCTTCTGGAAAGCCTCACGTGCAGTTGTGGACACGCAGACGTGTGCCATGTAGCCAGTCAGGACAAGCTTCTTGATACCCATCTTCTCTAAGGTCTCATGCAGAGATGTCTGTTCAAAGGATCCGGGGTAGTTTTTCCAGATCTTCTCTTCTCCGTCCTGATCATACGTTAGCGAAGAACGCGCTCGGGACGTTGTATTGGCCAACATACCTGTGCTTTGACCTCCTTGAACTCTTCCGCCAGGTCAGTGCCAGGCGTGAAGACGGGTGCGCCTTCGGGCGTCTGGTGCAAGATGTGGATGATCTTGCCGTTTGCTTTGCGGTACTTGTCGAGAAGGTCGGCAATGACCTTTCCGCTTGCTGCGGCGTTTGTGACGGTTAGAGCACCGGATGACTAGTCGGTAGAGTTAGCGATGCGGCGGGCGGGGAGAGAGCGAGTATGAGCAAGAAGGATATTGGACGTTCAGCAATCAATCGCTGCATCCAAAACGATACCGTCCTTGCCGATAAACTGGCAGCACTCGTCTTTCGAGATTAAGGGGGAAAGCATGCCGACCGCTCGATAGCTATGGGTTGTTACTTACATATTCATTTTGGGCGTCAATAATGAGAAGGGCAGAGTCGCTAGTCGAAGCCGTAGAGGCGGGCATGCCAAGAAGGTCACGGAAAGATGGAGGCGCCATTTTTTGCGTAGGATAGTAGTATGACGTTGTTCTGTGTGTTGTAGATGAAGTGCGTTGTGGATATATTGCTGTAATGGCAAATTCGTGCGAGAAAAAGAGAGGTTTAAGTACCTAGGTAACAACGAGCAAAGCAGATCCTACGTTGTAGGGTCGTAGTCTATATGGTAAGCAATGATTAATGATCTACTTGGTTCCAGAAGATATGTATGCTATTCGGGATTTCGGGATACGACACCCTTTTGGGGTGAGTAGGCGTACCCCGCCTCTGTGGGTACCTGCATGACGCGCTGCCGGGACCTCGGCCCAATGACGTCCAGCCGCCCGTGGGTCGCCATACCTGGGCATCTTGAAAGTCTGGTGCTTCACGCGTTGTTTCTTTGACATATCCGGGCTTTTTGGCCCGTGAAGGCTCACCTCAAAATGTGCTCATACCTGTATTTTCACTGACTTCCATTCTATTTATCCCAAGTCGACCCCCCGCCCACGCCTCCTGCGACGTACCAAGCCATCAGACATGGAAGAAGCCAACTTTAGCCAGCCAACTTTCTTCACGAGTGCCTGGAAATCCAATGTCGAACAAGAAGAATCTTCTCAAACAGTGATAAATGATTGCGGCACCTAGCGCATGTGTGGCCGCACTCGGCGATGCGACAAGAACGATGAAGTTGCAACAGAAATATGAAACTCTACAACTTCCAGTCTTTTGCCCATACATTCGCCTTGCTGAACGGCAAGACACCTCCCTTCACCATGTACCGCTGAACATCGCTTGGCGAGACGAACGGGACGCCAGGGCCAAATGCCAGTGGCTTGCAATACCCAGCATTCTTTGCCGCAATCTCGTAGGCTTCCCTGTGATTGCTTGCCACAATCCAGACGCCCCTTGCATGCTCTTTGATCTCCTCAATGGCGAAAATACCGGAAGCCTTCACATCTCGAAGTGACGAACCCTTGGAAAAACGTTGTATCGAATCTCCGAGCCAGTAAACGTTGTGGAGTTCGAGATTACACTTCTGCTGGCGAAGGAAAGCAGCCGAATGGTCGCTCTGCTGAGTATCGTCGAAGTGTAGTGTCTCCAAGCGTGACCAGTCGGGAGAGTGTGACGAGCCGCCCAAGAGCCCCATGTGTACCGAACCCTCGTTGCCCAGTCCATCTCCGCTGATGGAAAGATGCGTTATACCCGCGTAGTGCGATGCTGTGTTTATATTCTGATCGTACAGAACACCCAAGTCATGGTCTATTGCATCCAGAACTGACATGTAATGACCAACGTACTTTATGGCAAGTACATCTCCGAGCTGAGTAGCGGGTATCGGTGACGCGCTTGGATCGGCATCACTCAAAGCGCAGATTGAACGCGTTTCGATGTAGACTTTGAGCTTCTCTTTCCGCATGGAGTTGCGGAGAACAGCATCAACGGCGTGATCAAACATCCTAGCGCATTCTTGACCGAGGTATGCTGGATATGGCTCGAACATCATGCGGCGGCGAGTCCACATCTCGTCCTCAAAATCCTCCGGATCGTGGTGGTTATATAGCAGCACTGTCTGAAGGAGCTCCTCACTGGAGGGTCGCTCCTGTGCTGGTCGAGAATTGTGGAAACCGGGAACGTGGATCATTTCCTTGGCGCCATGAAAGCTTCCCAGTGAGTGCGCCAGGGTGTCGCGTAACTGGGCAGAGTCGCGCTCTTCATGGCACCCATCAATGAAGTGGAGATAGGTGTTCGAGGTTGGCGGCTGCTCATCGTCACTGTCGGCCTCCCAGTCATCGTGCTGCGTGAGTTCTCCATGGAGCCCAAACTCATCAGGCGGTGTCGGCCATACGTTCTCGAAGATGACCGCCGAAATACGTCCTAGGTTGCAGCTAGGATTGGTGCTTTGCGTCTGCACTGTTTGTGCCATCCTCGAGATGCTGCTAGACGTAGGCATTATATAGAAAGCCGTCTCGGAAACAATCCATGCGGGGATGGCCGCGCTCAGGAACTTGTTCACGCGACGTAGCGATGAGATGTCGGAGGCGTGATTTGTATTCCTCGCGATCATAACAATTAACTCGGGCGGCAGGTCGTCGAGGCGTCGAAGCTGTCCTGGGATATATACGGAGGCAGGGTGAGTAGCGCTCATCTTTTTATAGATGTTGTTTTTTCCTCCGGGTGTGGAAACTGTATCGCGGGCGCTGGTGTATATGCGCTGTAGTTGAGACTGGTCCTGATCAGGCAGCGGATGTGGGAGTTGCAGTTGAGAAGGAGAAAGCTGCGGCTTCCGGTGGGTTTGATTATGTAGAAGTGAGTAGCGGAGGTTTTTGAAAGTGGCTGGGACGAGATTTCACCCCCATGGTTGACAGGTCGCACGCTTCTCTCTCGCAGTATACACACACGTTTCACATGCGTTATCCTGAAGCTTCTATTGGTAGTTGCGGTCGCCGATCAGAGATTTCGCACCTTGTGATGGCACAATAGCGCGCCATTTCATCGTTCAGATGAGACATAGTGAAGGTGAAGGTGAGCCGGCCATGCAACCGAGGTGTAAGCGTCGTGACATCTTGATAGATCTTCTAGGAGCGCCGACGCGCATGGGAGTACTGCTTACAACCTTCGTAGTGGGGTTGCAGTCTTAGGAAGGGATGGTATCATGGCAGTCATCATTTGAGATAGAGGCGTGTTTGGAATGCATGCCTCGCCGTCGGAGCATAAAATCGATTGTCAGAGCAGTGAAACGGTAGGTGTGCGGCGAAGCGCATTTATGTGATCCAGTGTTCACAATGCCTGCAGCGCCTGGAGGTGCCACTGAAGTCGTGTTATGGGATGCTGTTTGTACCGCAGCTTGGTGATTGCTATGAGCGTGCCACCTGGGCAAGCTGCAAGCAGCGGCTAGGACAAGGCGAGTGAAGGGAAGTGCGCAACTTGTTAGACGCCTGACCTTGATGCAGAGATTCGCTGTTTGGTTTGGTTATCGAAAAACGTCAACAATTCATGTGCAGCGCAGGAAGACAAAGAGATGGTAGCATGAGGGTGAAAGCGTGTACGAGATCGCGTACGGCGTCAAAAGCCGCAGTTGCGCGCTAGTATCCACAGCGGGGCTAGATTAAGTAACGATCGGCGACTTCGCAAACTACGGTGATAAATGAGATACAGGCCCACACGACGAAGATATGGAGACAGATTGTGGAATAAAGCGTCAAACTAGCTGCGACTCGCCAGGGGAGACATAATTATTACGAAAGGATTCAGTGTAACGCGCAAAGAAAGGATTAAGATCGAACTGTCATCAGCATACTGCCAGTATAACAGGACCAAACACTCCCGAGGTCGCAAAGAAACTAATGACGCCAAATTGTGCGACGGCGAATTTGAAACACCTATCAAAACCTTAACTATGCGTGTTAGTAAGCCAGTCGCAAGCTTTCGTGCAGGCTGAGATACATACCAGCTCAAAGATACGTTCGCCCACCCGGCGCCGCTTCTTTGATCTCCTTGAGATGTTTTCCGTGCTCCTCGATAACTTTCGGGGAGGTCTTCGTGACTTCGCCCTGACGAAGCGCATAAGAGTACCAGGTCTTGAAGCATTCTTTCTGAGAGGCTGTCGGATAGCGTACGCCTTTTGCGCGGTGGGCTTGGAGAACCATGGTCTCGAGAGATTGGGTTGCGGCAGGCATGATGATGGTGCGACGTTGAGATAACAGAAGGTGTGAAAAAAAAACCAAAGGCGTGATAGGGCGAAGGATAGTTCAGTTCAGAGAATCGAAGTTGGAGTTGTGTTACTATAAGCGGATCCGCAGTGAAAATCTTCGTCACGTGAGAACAGTAGTCTCAGATCGATTTGCGGAAGAGGAGAACAAAGGTGGAGCAAGTAAGTGTATAAAGATGAGAATAATTGACGAGGCAGAATGATCGTGAGCTTACATGCCTTGGTGTTATCTTTTTCCGGCTCTCCATCAGATCTCCGCGACAGGTATAACGGCAGACGTGCGCAGCGGCCTGCCGATGCTCAAGTCACCGAGTATGGGTCAAGAGCCATCATCGGGAGTTTCCCGAACTCTGAACAGCCGTGCACGCCTTGGCGCCTGTCAAAATTGTATGCAGATCTCAAATCCGGCGTGAATGCGGCAGATGTTGACATTCTGCGCTTGACGAATGTTACCTGCTTGTAAAACCATATCAAGTGCTGACGTTGCTCTTTCAACCTCAGGATTTACTCAACAAACTAGGTGATGGGAGAGGGAACGAGTAAAGATGTAAGCGTACGGTGAGATCCGGTGCTTTGCTTCTATAGGCGCTATGTGTGGACGATCGGTGTCAAGGTATCGACTCGGGCGACGCGCGGGAAAGCGGGGTCAGTGCAGCGGGCCGAAAGCGAGCTCGCCCTCAAGTTCAGCGACGAGCGCGCAATGCACGGGACAAAACGGCAGATACGGGGTGTAGTACATACTTCCGAGCCAGATTATGCGCAACTCTCGTGCGTGATCTATCGGGGTCAGAGAAATTTAGCTACTTGAACCAAAACCCAAACACCAGATTTATTCGAGTAAATTAACCCCAGCATGTAATCGCCGAGGATCGACGGGTGAGCGTCCTCCATCAGTGATGTACCTTACTTGTAGGAACATCCTTCCACTTCTGCGGGAGGTCACCTTCATTTCTGCGGAAGACCCGGAAGCCATCAAACTCCATGTCACCTTCAGCAATTTCCGGTATCCTGATCACTCCGCTGAAACGCAAGCCACGCTCTTCAAATCTGATATCTCCTTGAGCAATGCGATACGTCCCTGGGTCATAGAATTCGCCAGTCGGATTATCAAGCCGAGCGTCGAAGTGAAGCTGAGGTAACACGGTAGTATCGATCTCAAGAGCAGGAAGATCTCTAAGATGTCGAGTCTCCACATTAGCCCGTTTTCGTTCTGGTGTTCGTTCCATAGCCAACTCCAGTGCGTCCTCGCATAGCCTTTTGACTTCGGCATTATTATAAGAAGAGGGAGCGCGTCTGCCCCGTCTTTCTGTCGCCGTAGCCCAAAGCCACTCAGCGATGCGACCATCGTCGAGCCCAAGGATTGCCGGGCCAGTAAACGTGCCAAGGTTGAAGTAGGCTTCGAGTATGCCAGATGCAAGCGAGGAAGCACCCAAATATTTGATTGTGATGCTGAGCTGCCCAATGAGATCTGGATGCCTCTCTGCAAGCAAAGGACATAAAATCATGTAGGTACCCGCTATATGACCCATGTAGTCATGCAGCTTGAATTTCCGGTGTTCTTCGCCGATTGCCGAGAGACTCATACTGGCTTGACGCAAGAGGCCTGCAACTTCACGGGGCAGATGGTCCACCTCTTCAGGCGGCGTCGGGGGCGCGCCTGAAGTTGGCGCGATCAAGGATGATGGGCCTTCCCCGTTATCGATGTCCGCCTCAGGAGTAAGCGACGGGAGCCTTTGTCTCTTGTGAGGATGGTCAGAGGCTTCGCCAAACTCTGTGGCGTTCGGTCGTGGCCGTTTGTGTGGCGCATATGTTTTGAGATCATCGGTTTTGGCCGTGTCTTGATTCTGTGGCGCAGGCGATGCCATCCGGCTCACGTTCGACTTCGGTTTTGTCACTGTAGCAGGCAACATCTTTTCGGTGAGTAGGTTCTTTCGTTGCGTAGCAAAGCACCAGCACCGGGAGGCGTGATGTGGCGTTTTGTTCTCTAGATACGCTTTCGAAGCTGGGTGTTTAGGATATACTTTGGCCCAAACCTCTTCTAAATTGTGGAAGACTTCAATGGAATGCTCCAAGGCGCTCTGGGGATGGATTAGGATGATGGGATTTAGATATGAATAGTTGTATACTAACAATGTAGTACTTGTCCTCTAGTATCAGGATGATTTGCATGAGACGCGAGATCATGTCGCACTTCGTCCAACGAATTTCTTCACCAGGACGACCGGAACCGCGGAGCAACAACTGCGCCTGAAGCCATTCCTCCGAAACGTCCTCCACTCCGAGTCGATCGTTAGCAAGCTTTTGCACGACATCCACCTCAAGCTCAAGGTAGCAGTTGTTTATCTGCATTCGTTTGCGCGGGTGAAGCGACCCATTGTATGTATAGATCATTCCGGCCCAGGTCTTTATGGCAGGCAATGGTTTGGCCATTGTCGTAAGGAACTGGCGATGGAAGTTGAGATTGTGAATTTGGGCTTGCAGTAAGTGATGGCAGAATGGGAATAACGCTTGTGTGTCGATACTGTCCATGGTGGCAGCACATCTATGTATATGGGTGCATGGCGATACCCCTGCGGGCAGATGCAGGGTGCAGGTGGGGATGCTTGCCGAGACGCGCGTTGGCCTTAGCTGACACTGCGGCATCTGGAACCCGCTGCTCGCCGACCAATGACAAGCGCCGGCCATCTGAAAGCGACAAGTCGCTCTCAGCAGTCAGGCACCTTTCCACAAAATCTCCGCAAGTTGTCCCGAGTCTAGCGCGAAGGTTCAGCAAACTGTCAACTCTATGTCCAGATCCAACCAGGTGGCGTAGTTCATCACGATGCTCACAGTATTGCCGCGCGCATTTGAAGTGGGCGTCGAAGATACGAGTGAGCAGCTTGAAGTTCCGACTCGCGTCATGCATGCAGCTTCTTCTTCTCAACACCTGGGCACACTAGCAGCGACGGCACTGTTACATGCAAAGTGTCAGCATTCACTGCGGACCCGGCGGGCTGACCCAGGCATACAGAAGGATGCATCCGCGCATTAACACGCTAGCAATGCGCTGTCTGTAAGGTTTGCAGGGTCTTTCACACCACAGCCACAGATCGCGATGATACGCGTTGCGGTGTACACAGATACCTGACAAAGCAATAGTCGAAAGCGGTCAACAGCAGAACTGAAAAAAAAACATTCATGTGGCTAAAGATCGCGCGGGACGCGCAGCGCACTGCTGCTCTTACGCCTACTTCGATAACTAGCGACACATCTACCCCATTAACATCGGCCGACAAACGAGATCTTCTGTCGGTCAAGACTCATTCCACGCCGCCCCATATTCGACCTTCGACGTATCGTAATCCAACCACTTCTCGACGGTGCATGAGTCATCGCTCTTAATCCTCCAACCCGAAATCTTCACAGGCGCCTCGCTGATCACAGGAAGGTAGATCCAGCCTTCGAAATACAAACTATCTTCCCGGAATCCGAATCGCGCGGTATTGCCAGAGATCCGAGTGGGTTCACCAATAGATGGTCTGTTCTCGTAAAGTCGAGCTTCGCAGTCGAGGCTGAGTGGCTTTTGTAAGTCGAGAGGCTCTGAATTAATGGTCGCGTCCATAGATATTCCATTTACTCTTTTGAACTCTTCTAGAACGTCTCGAAGTCTTTCTGTCTCCTTGTTGATCTTGCATTTCCCATTGCCACCATTTCTTGAACGCTGGCTCTGGTGTCTGTAACACCAATCTTGGACTATGTCAAGGCCAGGCCCCATAACCATAGCCCCTTTCAATAGCCCAAGGTTGAGGTAGGCCTCGAGCAAGCCGCGTTCCTGTGTATGGTCATCAAGAGCGTGAATGGCCATGCGCAGACTGCTTCTTAGTTCTGGGTGTTCATTCTCAATGAGTGGACACTGAATCCAGTAAGTACCCATAGCCGCAACGAAAGTCTGCTTGGCACGGCACGCCTCGTGCTGACTCAAGAGGTTTTTCTCATCCTCGCTGCGTTCTGGAGTCCATGGAATTTCGGGATGCTTCCCCCAATAACTGTTCACATACTCTCCTGCATGTGAGGGTATGGCTGCGTCAACACCATCGCTTGTGAACTCTTCCGATTTGATCTTCTTACTGGGCAGAATCTCATGGTCGTCTGGGATGGGTTCGTCGAGCTCTCTTTTGAGGTTGTGTGCTGCAGGTGGTGTAGATGGAGGAGTAATTATAGATGGAGGAGTAACTGTAGATGGAGGAGTAATTGTAGATGGAGGAGTAATGTGCCAGCCATGCTTGGTGTGCCACTTTGTCGCAAGGTCCTCGAATATCCGTCTCGGATATACTGGCAGCTGCAATGATTATCAGCAAAAAGAATCGACTAAAAAAAACTAGATCTGAACTGCAGTAAGAGAGTACGGTACTTGCCAGATATTCTGCCACGCCGCCGTCTTTCAGCTTTTTCAGTCCTTTCTTCAGCATGTCGATTTGGACCCAAAGCTCTTCATTGCCCTAGTCCGCAGGGGAAATCACATCCCAGAATAGTGCGTGTCTGCGCATCTCTTTTTTGTTCATGTTGAAAAGCGTAACGAGAACGTTATCAATACCGAGACGACGTTCTCCATTGATTTTGTACACTGTGCCGTCATATGAGTACGTGTCCCCTCCCACCTCTTTCTTCATATCGATAACAATTGAATTCGACATTCTGTATGAGTTAGAAGATTGCAGAAATAATAAGGGTATCGTCATGTCTTTATATGAAGAACTTTTGGATCCCTGCAGGCGTTCATACGGACGCGTCGCGCTAGGGACTACTAGTGCTCACTAGGACGCGCCGAAAAAGAAAACCTTCCCCAGCCATCTTCAATCTTGAAACCGTATCGATCACAATGGCTGAGATTCCGACAGTCTCTTAGACTCTATCGCGTTCTTTCGATATTAAATTGTTTCGGTCCGGATCAGGTTATGGTATAGTGTGGCTTCCTGTCATCGACCTTACTGTTAGCGCGTAGTGTCTTGAGCCCTCAGGGTCAAATGCCACGCCACTTTCATCGTAAGAACGCGTTCGCGAAATGTTTTGCGGCGACGATCGTTGAGAACAAACCCCAAGGTTGTATGCCAGAAGTCTATCCGCGATTTGCTCGTCTCGTGCCAACGTTACCTGCTTAGGTATATGACTGTTTCGGTGAGTGATAACCACCACCTCTAGGTTTTGTTGACGTATCTCGCGCATGTACTATTGGAAGCTTTCATCCCCAAGCATGACGTCTTGTAGAATTTCAGATCTCCTTTCGATATGCTAATCAACACTTCGTGCTTAGGTAGTGTCTTTAGCATATCCACATCTAGTCCGGAAGCGATGCTATGATCATCTTCCGGAACAATCGAGACCACGGATAGATATTCGCACAGTTTGCCAACTTCCAACCTCGAGATTGTTAGCACAATCACTTCATATCAGCCAAACACTTGCTACACTAGACCGGACGGATGTAGAAGGCGCCCGTTGGCCTATAGAGATGCGACGCATTCATTCTTTGGGGTTCACTACGAGATCTCTACTACAAGTATATGCTACATCAAAAATAAACAGAACCATATATATGTATACGTCGCTCATACTGTTTGCAATGGCGTGTCATCACCCGAGTGATGGCTTCCAAGGTTTGATTCACATCATGTGTATGGGGCTTTCACCACTCTCATGTACGTACGATCGAGCCTTTGCCAAGTAATCGCAGATATGGCCACCTCTGCTATACTTACATTCACTCTCGGCCTCGTCCGCAAAATGTGGAAACACAACCTGGGTACTTCAGACGCGGTGATTATACACTTCTCAGTTCAACTACACCTGCGGCACCCAACTATCACATACTACTCATCTGCCTCGAACAGACCATCACGCTCCTACTGCAGGTTCAATTGGGGTGGAAAAAGGGCTCTCTTCCACAGACACACGCCCTACCGCCGTCATCATGCCTCTCCTAGCTCCGACCAAGGGACAAAAGAATGCGGCGAAGAGAGCTGCTAAGAGACAAGGTGCATCAGCTACTAAGGAAGCTCCGTCGGGTAAAGTAGAGTACGCGATAGTCGGTAATATCGAACCTGAGCGGCTCGACCTGCCCGCAATCGCATTTACACCCACTCAGGAAAGCGCAACATCGACACGTAATGTTGCTGTTTCCCTCCTTGAGCACTACAGCCTTACGTCGTATGAAGATATAGTCGCTGCTCCATCTATACCAACCACATCACAGCAGGTACCACAACCGAACACGGATCTTCCTAGGTCTCAGTCCTCAGGGTCTCCGCCTACGTTGTCCACACTGCCTTTAGAATCCCTGGGCAGCTTCAGCGATAGTTTCACCTTCACAGCTCCTACTGGCATTGGTAAGTTTGGTGAACGCTCAAATACCGCCGACTTCTCCGACCACGAGTACGCGTCTTCCTTTTCCAAGGACGTTGAGGACTTTGCGTATAAGAGTCCAACTTCTTTGGGTTTCAGCGAAGCCTCCGTGGAAGACCTACGTAGTCCTACGTTTACGACCGCTGCAGCATCAACAAGAGCTTTCGAGGCAGCCTTGTCACGAACATCTGGCACGATAGAGTCATCGATCTCCACGTGGCTCGGAGATGCCACGACTGCCAACGCTCCTGCATCCGTGTGCGAGGACGACTTTCCATGCCCAGCTGCTGATATCTGGAAACAGCCGGAAGTGTCATCGGACTATGCGAATCGGGAACAAGCTCTTGTACCGTACTGCAGGCTCAAGCCACTTACTGTGGACTACGAAGCGAACCAAGATCTCGACGAGAATAACATTGACCTGTCACTTGAAGGCATACTTCCTGGCCGAATGTTTCTAGCGAGCGCGGATGGTATGATCCAATGCATCGCCCACGACCAGTTTCTACACAACGTCGAAACCATCAAGGATGATGGTGGGTCAGACTTTGACTCGGTCGCTTCTCCAAGCAAGGGTTACCTCGCGGATGCCAGTGAAGAGTATAATGAGACTTTCGAGAGTATTGACAGTCGCATTGAAGACGCCCAGTTAGGCCCCAGTATCCGCGAAAAGCTTCACGATATAGACAATGCGGGTGTAGAGGGTCCCGAAGTACCCGACCGGTGTCTGCAACCTGCGAACAAGTATAATCTGGATCGTGAAGAGCTCTCGAGCCATACGGACGGTTCGAATGCCGGTTCGGACGAGGCTGCATCGGTCAGTACTGAGAAGTGTGAGGTGATTGGGACGCATCAGGGACGCCTTGAATCTACCACACGCCCAGACAGCAAAGAAGAGATTCATGACGCACCCATGAACGAGGTCTCCGATGAAGAGCTTGCCGAGACCGTATCGACTAGCTCTCAGGTACCTGACACTCCCGACTGTGCTTCCGAGTTGAGTCGCATGCGTCTAGGTACGGAGTCTCTATCCTCCTTTCTTGAAGTCATGGAGGCCGAAGAAAGCGGAAAGGCTACTCGACACGCCGTGGTCACCGCATTCCTGAAGCTTGTCAACATCGAGCGAAAGAAGCGAGGGGTTCATGCTCTACCATCGCTATACACAGCACATAGTGTGCTGAGTAGCAGTATTCTTCCGCATACAATCATGCTCGGTACTACGACTGTTGCGTCTTTGCTTGCGCAGTTGAGCTTCGATGACAGGGACGAGGTTGAGATCGTTGACGTGTGTGCGGCATGGGATCGGTTGAGCCATGAGGAAGTGCAACAGTAACAGGCCGCTTCTGAGGCATCGTGGGCGTATTGCGAAGAGCTCTGGCGGGTTCACATGAGACTGCGAGCTCGGATAGGCCATATCTCAACAAGTGAGTCTGCGAGAATGAAGAGAAATATAACGTCATCACATATCGTCTCTCGCCGTGATCAGAGTCACCTCAGAGTCCATGCTAGCTTTGTTCCGTGAAGATAATGTCCCGATAGTATAACACACATCCGTTCGAAAGAGCTTTTCTTCCAATCTCTCTACGAGATGAGCAATCAGCTGCGTATGAGCGCACTCAAACCCCTTGGCTAGATCTTCACGCCATCCGATTTTGCACTGAGAAATTTTGCACGCATCATGCGTACGAGCCGAACAGCTGATCTTCCTGGTCGTATCGCCTGCGCAGCCGCAGTGTGGCAAACACCAACGAGGCTTGTCAGGGGTCGGTGGTAAGCAGGAGCTTTGGTGGATCATGAGATGACTCCGGGTATCGTACTCGGCAAGATCTGATATCCACAACGCGTAGATGAAACAGCACAAGATCTTGGAAGGCCGATATCGTTGATATCAGCAGCCAGACTAGTCACAGAAGGACAAGATCCTACATCGGTATACAGCAGCGGCTGAAGTTGACGTTGCCACACACCAGGATGCAGATACTCCTTTCCATCGTGGTGTATTACTGTAAACCGGATGCGATCCCTGCCTACGTCCTTGATGTTTTCTTCTTCCGCGATGATGCCGTGATAGCCATCGGATGGACCGACCCTGATCCACGCGCCGTCCAGGACATGGCTGGGTAAATTCGTACGACATCTAGATGCCACCGGCTTGCCAGGTAATATGAGGCATTCGGCGGTCTTGGATCTAGAAAACTGGGCAAGTTGCGCGACCTACAAGCGCAGCCGTAGTCCCCCGGTGCTGTACGCGAAGCCGTTAGTGCTGTATACTGGTGGTCGCTTCGGATGGTGTTGCACCAGCAGTTCTTCCTGTAGTCCATGTTGTTAGTCAGATACTATCGTGTCGATCGCCTAACTGAGTACAGGCGATCAAGGCAGAATGAGAGTTCGCGAAGTGACGATCTCCTGAACCCCGAATGTGTGAAATGTGAAGAGTTCGCGAACTTCGATACACTTCCAGGGGTGCCTTGACCTGTCAGTAATAACACCATCATTATGCGTTCATGTAGTGCATAGTAACATTGCTTTCATGTACTCACCGACCTCGAGATCCACTCATGCACTCCACACATCATCTCCGCTCAAGATACCCACCGCGCTTGGCATGTCTTACCAGGATCGGTAGAAAAGCCGGCTACTATACATCTTGGCAGATTCTCTTCATCCGGTGGTTATCCTGAGTTTGCCGAGGCTTCCCGCCATGAGCGCCCAATGTTTCATCACGTGCGCCACTGTCGCTAACAATATCATCGCCTACATGACATTAGCGCGGCGGGTGTTCCTTCCAAGCTTCGTTGTCTTCCGAGGAGTGTGGGGTAAGGCGACCACCTGTACCCTAGTGGCGTTCTTTTATATTAACATCCTGTGAACCGGGTTGAGAAAGCGCGTAAAGCCCGGATCAGCGATATTATCTTTGTGGTGTCGTGCAGATGTGTGCAAGGGGCATGGATCTTTGTGCTCTTCTATCTTTTCCATGATTACCGAGGCCGGTCACTGAACGGTGCAGCTTGCCGTGTTCGTGGTTCCTAGGCCGTTCTAGTCAGTGCGCTGGGCGTGCTTTTCGAAATGAGAGGACTGGAACACACCATCGTCGTTGACACCAAGACGGATGTAGACAGAGGCGAGATGATACCTCATGACCACCAAAGGCGACTTCTTCCAGCGATTCAGGCTTATCTCCACCTCGAAGTCGACATATAAGCTCGCTGCTGCTCGCAGTTCAGTATCATCACCGCATCCAGCACAGATCTCCAACTCAGCTCAACATGGTCTCTTTCAAGTCTCTCCTTCTCGCCGCTGTGGCTACCACCAGCGTGCTCGCCGCTCCCTTCGACTTCCTCACTGAGCGTGACGATGGCAACGCAACTGCTCTTGAGAAGCGTCAGTCCACTCCCAGCTCTGAGGGCTACAACAACGGGTACTTCTACTCGTGGTGGACTGATGGCGGCGGTTCCGCTCAGTACACCATGGGAGAGGGCAGCAGGTACTCAGTGACCTGGAGGAACACCGGCAACTTTGTCGGTGGCAAGGGATGGAACCCTGGAACTGGCCGGTATGTCATCTGGAAGAACTAAGCTTCATCATATACTGATCTCCATCCTAGCACCATCAACTACGGCGGATCCTTCCAGCCTCAGGGTAACGGTTACCTTGCCGTCTACGGTTGGACCCGCAACCCGCTTGTGGAGTACTACGTGATCGAGTCTTACGGCACCTACAACCCCAGCAGCGGATCCCAGCGCAAGGGCAGCTTCCAGACTGACGGCGGTACCTACGACGTTTCCACCTCCACCCGTACCAACCAGCCCTCCATCGATGGAACAAGGACCTTTCAGCAGTACTGGTATGTTGACAAGCAACCTGTGAACGTTGGACGCACACTAACATACTTCCAGGTCTGTCCGCACGCAGAAGCGCGTCGGTGGCAGCGTCAACATGCAGAACCACTTCAACGCCTGGGCTCGTTACGGCATGAACTTGGGCCAGCACTACTACCAGATCGTCGCCACTGAGGGTTACCAGTCTTCTGGCAGCTCGGACATCTATGTGCAGACTTCCTAGGTCAGGCAGGATCGCGGATAATCGGGTGAGCAGTCGGTGTGCAAGAACAGACAACAGCGGCGCTTCGGTTGCTTCCGGTTTAGACTATAGATACGGGCGATACGGGTCGTGCGAACTAGTCCGTAATGTGTCAATCTAATCGCTCGTTCAAAAATCGTTCGCCTTGAACTCCCTGCAGTGACTTCCTTTTCTCCCGTATCCCTGCAAGCATACTTCCAAGCAATTATGTCGGCCACCTTCTAGAATCGGCCAAGCTTTCCTCGTGTTGTGGCTGCATGCCAAGCTCAGAACGTGGCTGCCAAGGTAGGAGATATATTACTTGTGGGTCATGATCTCGCAAGCGGAAATAACGCCCACCAGCCGGAAAGACGTAAGGGGTGGCTGCATGTGGCGTCGAACTGTGATAGAAGTCCTCGTTACGGGTGTCGTCATCCGCGAGGCCTTTAATTTGGAGGACCATTCTTCGGGCTTGAGGAAATTGAGTGCAGAGCAGAGCAAAGCTAGACATACTGCATGGCAAGGCCCAATCTCCGAGGACGTACTGCGTTATTGCTAGTACACGGTTGACCAGATATGCAACTGCATAGTATCGACACTGTGATGCCGTTAGTCGACTGACGATGGGACACAACGCGATATTTGAATATGGACGCAGTGCAGCAACTTGCCCTGGTAGTGAGACGCTGCTGCCCATGTTTACGTCTGGAGCCGGCTTCTTGCCGACGGGTCCATCCGCTCGATATATTATCGAAGATCGCGGTGATCGCGATGATCGCCACAGGGAGAGTGGCATGCAGTCGATGGCATATCTTCGTTGATAGTTACCATGTCGCCAGACAAATGGGAGTCATGATTCACGATGTTGATGGTACTGGACCACTGTGGTCAGCATGATGATGCCCATCTGCAGGTGAAGAGCTTTTGGGTCAACGATCGCAGAAATCTTGTTCGAACAGTCCAAAATCGGTGCGAAGAAGCCAGGTATGTGGACAACAGGACAACGCAAGGACACTGGGTCAGAACGCGCATCCGAGCCGTTCGAGTGAAAGACCGCTGAGAACCCTTGAGTGACGCGCTGGTCAAGGGTAGACGGAGCCAGGAGTGACGGAACAACTTCTTGAACCTGGGCGGATCGGCATGGGCACGTATATCGAGATCGGAATGAACCAGCCAAAGAGAACCGACAGAGTTCAAAAGCGTTGTCGATTGAATGTGGTGGACGACGTGAGTGATGATGGCGGACGCGTCGATGTTGGGAAGTATGACGATGGGAAGTCGCGGATGCGCCTTACCCGATTGGGCGGGCCAGTACACAAGCCATCCAGGTACAGCATTTTGGTATCATGGCAATGGACATGGGCGAGTATTGCAACATTGACAGATTGTTATCATATCTTCATTGAGTGGTGTACCTGCTATCCTTTCATATACATCTACATCTTATTGAACACATTCGTACCCGTAACATACTCCTCAGTCCCCTCTCTCCTCCGGCTCTCAGTGACATTCTCATAAGTCTCCTCCGTGACAATGAGCTCATCGCTCAAGCTCTCCAACAACACACTGCTCTCTGCCTCCGCGCCGGCCATGTAATCGAAGCTCTCGCCAGACTCGCTACCTGCCTTCTCAAACACATCGGCACCGCCATCGAACCACCGGGCTTGCTCGCCTATCCAGTCGACTCCACCTGTGCGTCGGTCGCGGCGTACGACTTCCTTTTCTTCGAGGGGGAGTAGAGGGAGATCGGTCTTGGGAGGGAGGATGGTGCGACGGTGCCAGGCGCCGAGGAACATGCCTTCGGGGTCGACTTCGTTGCGGACGCGGTTGTATTCGTCTAGGTCGTTGCCGTATACAGAGGAGAGGTACGCGTTGTCGACGGACTGGAAGTTCTTTGCCCAGTGCGGTCGGCCGTTGTACTCTTTCATCAGGTGTTCAAAGGCTTGGTAGTAGCGTTCGCGGCAAGGGGGGTCCTGGCCGTACGGACGGTAGAGCGTGGCGTTGAGGTACAGAGCGGGTTGATCGGGATATGAGGTGTCCAGAAATGGACGCGGTTCTCGGTTGACGGTGTTTGCGATGCGGACTTCGATGGGCGAGTGGACGTAGAGACCTTTCGTGCTGAAGGGAATGCCTGAAGACTGCTCGTCGCCGTGCAACCAGTCCGTCAGTCGCGACAGTACTTCAGGACCCTTGTCGAGGGGCACGCTCCATTCGTTGACGAATTGCGAGTAGAGACAGTTCATCAACAGCTCCGTGCGCTGCTCGCCAACCGCAGAGATGAGAGCACCGTCCTTGAATCCGTATTGCATGCCGAAGACGAACCACTCGACCCAGGGCAAGAAGCGCGGGACGTACTGCGATATCCAGAGGAGAATGTGGTATGTGTGGAAGCCGACGCTACCGCCATACCAGTTGTACTCCGGCTGCCGATGCGCCTTGTCCGTCTTGTCTGCCCGCCATACGACTGCACGCTTCATGTACGGTAGCCACCATACTCGCGTGAACTCGCTCGATGTCCAGAGCCCGTTGTTCCAATCTGCCAAAACATCTTCAATCGGTAGTATAGTCTGTATCCATTCGACGTTGTTCGCTTCGATCATCTGGAACTCGATTTCGACGATGATGCCCAATGCGCCCAGCGAAACGAGCGCTGCCCGGAAGAGATCTGGCGATTGCTGCGGTGAGCATCGTACCGCTTGGCCGTTCGCCAGTACTATCCGGAGACTCTGAACGCGGTCCGACAGGAGGCCGTGGTTGTATGAACTGCCGTGCGTCGCCGTCGCAATCGCTCCCGCCAGCGATTGATCGTCGATGGATCCGAGGTTCGGCATCGTCAAGCCGTGGCTCTTCGCCTGAAGGTTGAGATTATGTAGGCGTATCCCAGCCTGCACAGTCATCGTCTTGCGCTCCTTGTCCACGTTCAACACCTCCTTGTAGTCGTCGAGGTTGATCATCCATGCCGACGTGCACGTTATGTCTGAGGGTGAATGTCCGCATCCTACAGTGACTACGCGCCTTCGCATACGTCTCGCAAGGTTAACAACCTTCTGCACTTCCTGAAGACTCTGCGGCCGGATGTAGAGCTCCGGCCGCGAATGGAACGTCCGAGCCCATGTGTGATGGATATGTGACTGCGATGCGCGGAAGGGAACGTCGGGGTCCGTACGGTCCAACTCGATATTGAAGCGTGGCGGCATCATGACGCCGGATAGAGGCGACTGCGCCATCCTCGTGGTGTTGAGAATACACGACGCATGAGTTGAGATGATGGCGTACACATGAAAGAATGTCGCGATCGAAGGGTCCAGATGACGTTAGCGGCATCTCAGTCTGGACCCCGCCAGAGCACGATAATATCTCGGAGCTAACTCGGGAATATCTCAGCTTTATTTACAGGCCGACATCTTGACGCACATGCATTCTTTGAAGGAGTGCACTCCTCATTCACATGGCTTACATCTATACAATTGCATCACGGCGTCAAGAAATGTGTCACTCTCTAGTGAGGTGCTGGTTGTCGAATTCGATGGAAAATTAGGTATTGGGGAAAATCTTCCATGATTCGTTCAATTCCTAAATTTCATTCGAATCCGACAACCGGCACCTACCCAGACAATGATACATGTCACGAGACAGCTAGCCCGTCAAAGCCGATCTCATTGTCCCTCATTCGCCGTCGAAGTCGTATTCGATGTTCACAAACTATGATTCTTCGCATGACATCTCTTCACCAACCCATCCACATCTACAACTTCGACTGCACCTTCTCCTCCCTACCCTTCAACCCCGGATGTTGCGTAATAATCGGCCTAGTAACCGCAAAAAACGCAGTTCCACCGGATTTGCTCGAGAACTGCGCCTTGGAGCCAACGTGGAAGAAAGCAAAGTCGCCCGCAACAAGGTGATGTGTGACACCGGTCGCCTCGTCTAGTACGTCGATTTGGCCGTTGAGAACGTACTTGGTCTCCTCGTAGTCGTAGGTGGGGATGTTGCGTGTGGGGCCGGCTTTGATGCGGTAGAATCCTGAGGTCAGGTATGTGGGGGAGTCGGTGGTTTGGGTGCGGATGCTGGGGGTGGTTAGATGGGAAAACTAGGAGCTTGATTTGGCGTAGACAGGGAGATGCAGATGTTTTGTGGTGTAGTGGTTTGGTGGACTTACGAGTGGAAGTCTGCGACGATGGCGCTCTCGCCCTCGGGGATGGGGATGTACTCATGGCCCGCGCCCTTGATGATGGTGAGAGGTACGTATTTTTGCGACACTATAGAAAGGTAAGTATATGTTTCCTAGTCGACGCTGAATTGATTCAAGTGTTGTCGCTACTTACTGGCTGGTGATGTATGTGTGGTGTTGTGTTTCGAGGAGAAGCTGTAGGATTTGTGAGTTAATTATCTAATGTTCAGCGACAAATACCGTTCTTCATATACATAGACCAAGCTGCGACTGAGTACTACTTTGGCTCCGTTGAGCACTGATTGCTGCCTACCCCTTCTTCTCCTCTCCGTGATATTTGTCCGCATTGGGTAAGTCGTGCCGGGCAGCCTAGCGTAGATAACCTGACCTTGTACTCGTCAAATGTGAGTTGAGATCCACCTCACATTAAGAGCCGATTGGAGACCCGACAGTAGATCTATCGTGTATTGCGTGATATTAGGTGAGATTCGTGGTGCAGGTACGGGGAAGGAACCTGGCGCTAGCGCAATCGAGATTGAGCTGTCATCACATCTCCATCTTCACACACAACAATCTCCCCATACTTCATGATTGCCTTCTGAGTAGTCTTTTCTCCATACAAGTCGCTAATGTCGAAATCAGCTTACGAACCTGCCTTATCAGAACCGACCCCGTGAACATGTAACGAACAGTAGTATACATCCAAAGTAAACACGAGTACGAAATGACAAGAGAGCTAAACACAAGCCTCGTCCCGGCTCAACCCCAACAAGAAACCAACAACGCAGCTCGATACTCCCAACCACAACACTTCACATCATCACGGCGCCAAAACACCATCCTCATAATGAAACAGCTCCCTCAGCCACACCCAAGAAGCCGCATACAACCGCTCCACACCATGCGTCTCCAAAAAACACAGCGCCTGATCCCAAGGCAAACCCCCCGTCCTCATCAACCCTTCCTCAAGTATACCCTGAAACTGCGTATCAAGCGGCCGGAAAAGGCGCATGATCTCTGCAGGTAGAATGCTGGAGACCTGAACTTTGTTCAGCGTAAAGGTTGTACCGGTGAATTTCCAGCGGACGGCAGTTTGGATGATCCTGAAGGCTATGGTATAGCGGCTGTAGAGCGTGTCGCCGGGCATTTCGTATAGGACAGTGATGCGGCTGTGCATAAGGTCCACGAAGTTGGCCATCGAGCCTGCTGTGGTAGGGGCGATGACGGGGATGTGAGATAAGATTTTCTGGCTTTCCTCCTCAATCGCGGGGCTTTTGGGGTCGATGTGCCAGCGGGTGAGGGGATCCATTGCTGTGATTGACGGTTAGATCTCCATCATCTGTAGACTTTGTGAAAGGCGTCTTACCCGCCTCCGCAAGGCCAAAAGCTTCAAGTTTGTAAAAGATTACAAGGCAAAACTTCTTCGTCGCGTTCAGATGCTGTTTCCTTCGTGTTAGTCTACGGCCTGAGTCCCGGGTCACCAGAAGTTGGTTGCTGAATATATTGGCAACCTTTTCGTATTCATGTACATGTGTGTATTCCTTGTCCGAGGGTTCTTCCCATCCGCGAAGTACTGGACGCTGGAGTATTAAGGCGTCGGCGGCGTCTTTGCGGTCGCATGCTCGCAGCAGATGTAAAGCTTTGTTGCAACGATTTTGCCAGTCTTGTAATTGTTTGTCGACTTCTTTCCTTTCGTGGTATTTCTTGGGGTCGCGCTTGGGTAGCCACTTGTTACAGTCGCCGCTGAAGTGATCTCGTCGAGGACAGGTGAAGCACACGACCTTCTTCAGATTCGCGCAGTTCAGCTTGGAAGTGCTGCCTTGCTTGCAATTGTCGCAGGAATGCCTTGTTGGTATAGCCGCGTTGGGATTGCTTTGAGCGTTGGACATGTTACAGAGGTGGCGAGAGGTAGGGAGTAATGCAGATGATGGAGTGAGTAACAAGAGTGAATCAGTAAGAAATATTGAGGGTCAGGCGACACAAGAACGCGAGATAGCAGAACGCAGGTTCCCGTCACGCCAAGCTCTTGTGGTACCCAGGTAGCAAACGGACCTCGAGGGGACCGCGAGTCGACCGCGAGTTGACCGCGAGTTGCGCAAACCGTGACAACTCAAATACCGAAGGTTGCAGTCATTTATATCCAGCCTGCTGTACGATCTAGCGAGATCGACGAGACTTCGCTATGAGCAAACGATTCGTCGTTTGCTGTGACCATGGCCAAGACGAGTATGGCTAAGACGAGTAGTCGAGCTAGAAAGGTCCCGAACCGACACACGCTATCGTTCTTATTTTCGAGAGTGAAAAGCCACGGCTTGTTCCGTTGCATGTTAATTCGTGCTTTCGTATGCGCGTTATCTCGTCCACCTCATGAGCAGCGATTACCGCAACGGAATACCTTCATCCCCATCATCGTTCAATGTGTCCATCTCGTCTCCGCCAAACCCTTCACTACCCACATCATCACCCACGTCAAAGCGCATGAACTTCTCGTTCTTCGCTTCAGCTGCACAATGGTTAGCATTGCCTTCTCCACAAAACGGGTCAAGAGATACTTACTACCCCACTCCACAACCTGTCCGTCTTGAACCTCGCAGTCCTTGAGAACAGTCTTGTCGCCATCTTTAGCATCGCCACCCTCCATCTTGCATCTCCGGCCAAGTATGCAGTCTGTGAGTTGTACGTTTGGTCCGATTTCGACTCCGTCCATCAACAGACACCGCAACAGCCTTGCGCCCTCGCTGATCTTGCAGTTTGGACCGATGACGCTTTCCTTGATGTTCGTCTTCTCTTCTACGATGACGTTATCGGCTAGCAGTGAGTTTTCGGCTTCTACACGACACTTCCGGGGGATAGACTCCTTGTGGACGATCTTCGACTGATGGGCGAATGGTGAAGCTGCTTCTTTGCCGACTTCTTCGATCGACTGCAGCTTAGCCAGGCGGAGTGAAACGGTGAGTAGAAGATGCGAGTCGTCTACGCGGCGAATGAGAGGTTCGGTTGGTCCTGACGGCTGAACGTAGGCAAGGATCGGTGGAACCGTAAGCTTCGTGTTCGAGGTAATCGATTTCGCAGATTCAGGTATACTGGACGATTTTGTGACTCTGGACGCGAGTGTCGTGGGAGCCTTTGAGTCGGATTCTGTGTTACCGCCTGAGTATGTGGTGCTGAATTTGGATACATCGATCTCTTCCTCGACAACTTGCGACCCGTGATCCGACTCCTCATCCTCGCCCTGAAGTATTTGCCGCAGACCCAACTTGTCTCCTAGACCGTTTTGCCAGCCCGCCTTCGCCCACCAACCCAAGACCTCCTCACTGATACTTTCGAATTTTTCGTTCTTCTTGATCATCTCAATGACCCAGTATGGAAAGAAGTAGATGTGTGCGTCGCGGTGGGTCGTAAGCATTCTTATCCGCGCGTGCTGGCGAATGAGGGAATGTCGCAGCGGGAATGTCTTGTTCTCCTCCGTGATGTCATTCAGCGTGTCGGTGGGTACGGAATAGACTAGTTTCGAGATGTTGCGGCGCAGCGAGTCTGTCGGAACGGGGACGATGGGCGTAGGTAGCGGTGTTGTTGCGATGAAATCCGTCTCCTCCTTCTTCCTGCTGCCTTCTCCCTTTGCCTGGTACCACACGCCCATGCCGCCTCTTCTTCCGAGCTTCTCTCCGCCAGCGCCGAAAGCAATCTTGCTGCCGTTGTGATCTAGTCCTCCACTAGCTCCTGCGAACCCGCCCTGTTCTACCATCCAGGCGTCTGCCAGCGCCGTGCCGTCCAGTTCGCATACGAGATCGCATGGCAGCACTATGAAGTCGCCCTTGATCGCGTTTTGTAGCTCAGGTAACCGGAAGAGGTCGCCCGTACTCGTCTGATGTGAGAGGTCTTTCGGCGCAAGAATGTCTGGCTTCGGCGAAGGGAGGGTTGTGAGGTGTGGGTTTTGCGACATGGCAGCCTCGATGGCTTCTAAGGACTCTGGCGGTGTCACGACTGTGATGTCTACGAAGGGTTAATACAAATTGTAAAAGACAGATGCGCAGAGTGGTATACCTGTGACTCCCATGCGGTAACACCATTCCAGAGGATACCAGACCATCGGCCGGTTCGCAATGGGCAGCAGGGCCTTTGGTATCTCCTTGGGCGTAGATGTGAAGGTGCTGAAGGAAGCACCAGGTCCACACAGAATGAGGGCCTGGAAGCCCGGCGCGGGCAGACTCGTCGCGTGAGGCATGGCGGGTGTGTGCGGTGGGTGTCGCGGTATGAGTGTAGAGTTGTAGCGCTGGCCTATCTCGATATATTTTGGACAGGAAGGTACTGTTTCTGGCTTCGCTTGTGAGGTGGTATTGGCGTATGTCCGCCGAGTGGTGCTGCAGGTACAAAGGCGTGTGGGGTGTAAGAGTCACCCCGCGGCCACCAAAAGTTCGAGGGCTGACTCGCGCACACTCCCCGAGGGCCTGCAAGCGCGTGTCAGGCATGCAAGCAAGCTTCAGCTCCCAGCCACTCGCCCTGCCCTGCCGGCCGTCAACAACAGGGAAGCAGCCGAGCGGCAGCGGCTGACGACCAAAACAACAATCCCAAACCCGCTACCCGACGCCCGACCCGCCACGAAACATACACGATACCATGACCTAGGCCATGTCGTCCTTCAACTACGACCGCTACGACCGCCGTCAGAACAACTCGCGCAACCGCGGCGCCCTCGGCTTCTACGTTCCTTTGATCCTCACTGTCACCGTCGCAACCGCCGGTCTCGCAGCCTGGGTCTGGAGTGCGCGCGAGGACAGCCGCGACTACTCGTCTGATGACGATCTCTCCTATGGCGAAGATTCGGCGCACGAAAAGCGTCAGGGCAGGGCGCCTGCAGCACGCGATGTCTCTGGGTTCCCTGTAGGCGAAGGGGGCGGTGAGGGCTATGGCTACGGCGATGGCACGCTGCTTGGCCGCGCACAAGGCGTCATCAGACGCACACCATCGCCGCAGCAGCTCTTCGATACCGTGAGCAAGAAGACAGCTGCGGGCTTGGCTGCGGCGGGTGCTGCAGCCGGTGCGGCGCTTGCTTCCATCCGCGAGGAAGACAAGGACGAAGCTTTCGGCGACCACTCTCGCTGGAATGAAGAGGCCACCATAAGGAGGAATGTCGAGGCGCAGAGCCGGGACAGCAATGCCGCAGTCGATGTGCAGGCACGAAGCTTCGCGGCCAGCGTGCGGAAGGCTGAAGGGCGAGGCGAAGGCTACGGGGGAAGGAGGAAGACGGTAGTTCTGGTCGTCAGCGCAGAAAGCCTGGACCGATTGGATGACGACGAGGGCTCATACCGCGAAGAAAACGCCGTAAGCATTGCATCTCGTCTCTCTCCTCACGTGCCAGCAACTAACAGCTCGCAGACCATCCTCTCCCACCTCCCCGACACCGACTTCTCGCGAACCAAGCTCTTCGTCCTCATCTACTCCCCATCGCTGCGCTCGCGCCCACAATCCCGCGCCAACTCTCGCACTGGCTCGTCTTCGCTCGGCGACTCGTACTCTGCCATCAGCACACCTGCACGCACACCAGGCGAGGAGCTGTCGTCCGTCGAACCCGTCATCTACACACCCGCACCCAGCACCAGGGGCTCTGACAACTCGCTCTGGAACACTCTCCACTCCCAGGCCCTCCGCCTCGTCGAGGATCCAGCCATGGTCATGCCTTTCAACACCACGACCGGCTTCGTGCACATGCTCAGGCATCTTGGGCCGGAGCTTGTCTACGTCGTCGACGCATTGAGCGGCGTGAACGGTCAGAACATCGACGACATCAGGAAGTGGGTTGGCCAGACAATTGTCGTTGTTGGCGGTGATGGCACCGGCCTTGGTGGACTTGTTGACACCGATGACGAGGGCCCCATGCGCAAGGGCAAGGAGAGTGAGCACACTGTCAGGTGGTGGCAGGTTCGCAATGACATGATCGGTCTGGGCAAGGGCGTCGAGGTGGTGGATGCCTCTAGGCTTGAAGACGACTACGAGAGGAGGGTCGGTGGACGCGACTAGACTCGCTTGCTTCTGTACTGGCCTGGAGTTTGATGATGTTATCGATGTGTATAGGAACCTTTCGCGATGCTTGTATCTGATTAACGACGAATATACCATGCTTTTTGACAGACTCGACCCATCACGAAACGACAGTGCACAACCAAAGACACGCAAGTAAGAACAGTAGATCTCCATGCAGAGCCCATGGCGCGGACTTTGTTGCATACATGATATTAAAACTTGACAGGTAGACAGTTCCCAAGACCATGAAGACGCCTGCCCCGAAATTTTCCTTGTGAATCCCGCTTGAAACGCCTCAACGCCGAAGGAGAGATGATAGCGCTGGGAATCTACATCTGGACACGGAGCAAGTAACGAAGCTTGACCTGAGCGACGTCGTAGGCGATGTACTCGTTGTACTGCAAGTACGCGTTGGGTACGTTGGTAGCTCCAGGCGGTGTCGATACATCGGGCTAGTATGGTTAGCTGTGAGACTAGATCTGGGAATGCGAGCTTGCTTACCATCATGCAGCCCTTTAGGGCTGGGTTCACGCAACCCGCGTCCTTCCACTTTCTCGGGCCAGTCTGTCCCATACCAAATGTGCTGTGTAGGCCCTTATTGATGGCGTCCTCCCCAGCAGTGTACGACGCGTTGGTAAGCTCGTGCATTGGGTTGCCGAGCTCAGCTTCACAGAGAAGAAGCAGTGCAGTGCCTCCAGAATTGTACGAAGCGCAGTAGTTGGCGGATTTTGAAGACATATCGGCGAGATAGATACCTTTGCCAAACATGTATCCGCTGACAGGGGCTTCCGGTGGAGCGATTCTGAGACCTTGACCCAAGATACCACCATAGTTGGTGACTCGGGATCCATGCCAAAGCAAGCGGCGGTTGCTTGCAATCTTCGCATACTTGCTCTTGTCGAAACGGTCGAATTCTCCTTGACGTTCGATGCGGAAAATCTCTTGTACTTTGTAGCTGACATGATGTGTCTTGCCCTTTGAGTTGTTGAGATACTCGTCGATTTCAACAAATTCGCGACTCTTATGTTGAAGAGGCGTCATTTCGTTCATGCCAAGTCCCTGGAATTGTTTATCGAGCTTGTTCACATCGCTATTGTCCTTCAATTGGTCCTTGAGCATGGCAGCAGTCTCCTTCATGTCTGACAGGCTGTAGGACGAAAGTCAGTATATGTCTCACATGGATCTCATACAGTCAAGAAGACTTACCTCTCAAGTAGTTCAATCTCCTTCTTAAGGAGTGTGATGTCTCGAATGACCGGTGGACGATTGCGACCGAAGGCGTGTGGGATGAGAGAGAAGTACTGGTTCGACAGGCGTTCAACCTCTGCCCTGGAGTTGTTGTCGCTTTTGTCGATGAGCACGGACAGATCCTTCAAAGTTTGAAAACCGCGAGCGATGGTGCCTTTACTGAGCTTGCCTAGGGGGAGCTTGTTGGCGTCGTAGTTCAGGGCAGTCATGGTTTGATTGAAGTAATCCTGGTTGAAATGTTAGCCTGGAATTCAGGTTGCAGCATACGCAGCGCTAGAAGTCAACAGATGAACACGTCCTGAGGCATTGTCGTCGCCAGGCCCCATGATAAATATATTTTTTCTTCTGAATGCGACGCGGATTGTAGCCTCCCGGGTACTCCAAAGACACTGGGTTCTTACCTGGTTGAAGATGAGCTTCATAAGATCCTGGACCGGGGGAGACAAGGTGCTGTCAGGTGTAGCGCCGTTCTTAGTATCGTCGGCATCAGCGCCAACACCAACATCTTCGTCGTCATCGTCGTCCGAGTCAGGGTTGTAGGAGCGCTCTACGTAGGCGTATTTGCCAGCCTTCGGCTCGTCACCGCGGTCCGCCCACTTGAGGCCAGACTTGTCCTTGAACTTCTTCTCAAACTCCTGCATAGCATTATTCAGGCTGCCGTCGCCAAGCATTTTCATCTGGCCACGGTCGCCGACTCGCCCCCAGCGTGTCCACGTTCGGTAGCTGGAGCCATCGGTGAGAAGCTGGACTTTGTAGAACTTGTCTAAGATAGTCAGCATACACGTCAGGATCTGGGGCGACTACCGTTACTCACTGTTGTTTGCAGACGAGTTGGTTTGGTTAAGTGACGCGTCGTAAATCGTGCCGTCATTGTTATCAATGTAGACGCGCCAGCTAGCCAGAGGGCAATGCTCGTCTACGGAGATGGCAATCTGCTTGGACTTGGCATTCTGTCCATCTCCAACTTTAGCATTCTCTTTGATCTTAGGCTTCTTGGTCTCCTGTTGTGCAGTTGGTGGTGATGCAGATGACGCCGCGCGCTTCTTTGACCCGTTCTGGACAGGGGCAGGGGCAGAAGCGGGAACTGGCGCCGCCGCCGCCGCAGAAGACAACACATATTGCGACTCAGGAACATAGGAATCTGCTCCAACTGTCAATTTGAAGTTATTCGTTGAGATTTGAGAAGTATGTCGCGGTTTTGAGGGCGTCGGAATGTTGTGGACTTACCTGTCGCCTCGCACTCGTCGAGCCATTCGAGGCTAACGATCGACACGTTCTGAGCAACAGCAGTCTTAACTTTCGTGGAATTGCTCTCGAAGTCTTTTTGCGTTGCGATGAGATGCGTCGTGTCCGGTGTGACGCTCGACAGGAACTCGGCGCCGAGTGACGTTATACGCGTCTGTAGCGTCGACTGAGTTACTCCACTCGGGAAGCGGCCAGATGCCGCGATGGACAATCCAGTGAGTACCATTGTCGCGATTGATGCGATTGACTTCGATGAACCTTGAAAGACACGATGCAGCTGGATTGGGGGCGCAGAATGGCTATTTGAACATTTGGTTGAGACGGAACCAGGTGGCCGATGAGACGGTGGCCTGTGTTCAGAAGGAACGCCCTTAGGCATCAGCGCCCAAAGCGGACTAGCCCCCATTTCTGCCTTCGCGAACGGCACGCGTGCACACATGATAAGACGGCCTCGGGAGTCGTGCCACAAGCACCTGCATCAACCACGACAGCAAACTTCGCTCACAAAAGTCGCTTCCTATCAAGATGGCATCACTACTCACCATACCGCTGGAATTACTGGTCGCGGTTTCAGAATACCTTCCTACTGAAGACCTTGGTTCACTTCGTCTTGCATGCAAACAAACCGAGAAGTCGCTTTATGAATGGTTTTCCAAAGAGTTCTTCTTCAAGAAGCAGTTCATGCTCACGCACAAGAGCCTGCAGGCGCTCATCGACATATCCAAGCATGCCAGTCTTTCCAAGAAGCTGGTACACATCATCATTGCCACCAATGTCTACAGCGAGATACCACTACGCTTCAGGGACGACGACGCCGCTACGCGCTACATTCAGGGCTACGAGGACCAGAAAGCGCTTTTGGGTACTGGGATCGACCGCGAGATGCTTACGGAAGCTTTCGAGCGTCTCGAGAACCTCACCACCGTCGGGATCCGCGACTTCAACGCAGGCAATCGAGTTCGTGACGGCAAGAGCTGGAGCTCCTGGGGCGCAACTACCGTCCATCGCGAGACCGGAATTGAGCTACGGTTCGCCGATCGCGATTCTTTCGGACAGGATGTCGGCACTCGTTTCACGTCTCGCGTCTTCTCCAGCGTGTTGTACGCTTTGGGTAAGGCTAACCGACGACCTACTGAGTTCGAGGTATTGCTTCGTCAGCGCGGCCTACCCGACACGGCATTCTTCCTCCCAGACTACATCCGACCTACAGTGGAGCCCATACTGCAGAACACAAGCACGTTACTATTGAACGTCGACCTCAAGCCTCGTTACCTGCACACTCATAGCAACGGAACGTCCGTGGATCCAAACGCGGGACGCTCGCTTCGGCGCTTCCTCCATTTCACTCCCAATCTCGTTCATCTTCGCCTGAACTTTGAGAAACATCTGGTAGCGAATAACGAGGACTTCCTGCAGTGGTTGGCTACTCCGAAACCCACTACCGGCTCAAATACAGCGACTTTTCTTGACCCTGCCCCAGTTGCTCTACCGCTCTTGAAGAACCTCGAGCTTGGTCAGCTAAGCGCTCGGGCTGATATTCTGTTCAACTTTATTTCCAAGTTCGCGCCGACTCTAGAAGATCTGAGCCTTTGGAGGATGAACATCCCCGCTGTAGTCGCTCCGCCTCACGGACACAAGCCCAATTACTGGCGCGACTTCTTCAGGAAGCTGTCCAAAACGCCGCGACTTGCTCTTACTCATCTTAAAGTCGGCATGTTGCAGCAAGACCACATGTATGTGACTTTCAAAAGCGATGATGCAAACAACAATTTGAACACACCAGTCCCAGCGAAGAAGGTGAAGGAATACGCTGGGTCAGACATGGGCAAGTTTTGGGAGGAACTACAGGAAGAGGTGACCGTGGATTGGCCGGCGACGGTACCCGTCGATCTTGACGCAAGCGAAAATGATAGTGAAGACGAGGACGAAGAGATGGACGATGATGACGACGATGATGAAGATGATAGCGATGAGTGAGACGAGTCTTTAGGTGCTTCCATGATGTTACGATCTATACTCCCTAATTCCAGCCTTTCCTTTATTGAGCAATAGTTGCATGAAGTCGCCTTTCATGTACATGTTGAATGACACGTCCTCAATACTGTCGCAATGACTTCTGTACTCAAACTTCGTGGTGTACAACTGGCTTGCACACTACATCTGTCGCTCATCTACCCCAATAACTCTCCTTCCTCAAGTCTAGGCGCAAGGCCCAAAGCTCAATGAAAAAGATGACAAGATACCGTTGACAGACACGCATCACTGATGCGTACGGTACACAAACAGCACTGCGAACAGTGCGTGTTGAATGCCTGGAAGAACGAGAATCACCTCGTCCTCTCTCCAAATCCCAAAGCCCTCGGAGGTCAGTATCTGCAAGCGACAAGCACTGCGTCAGATAGACTGTCTGTGACCAGACTGAATGCGATTCCACCTTTCATCTTTGTGGTGGCCTCTCATCTTTCCCTGTTGACCCGCTTAGCGGACATCATCAGTATACCAGACCGGAGACCGACCTGGCTGGGACGACAAGGCGCTCGAGGCGGATCTTGAAGTTGCTGACAACCAACCCATCTAGTGAGTGTCGTCGTACCCTGCCGCGTGGTACCCCGTACGTAAATCGGGCGCGACAGTATGACCTCCAGTAACCCAGCTTAGCTGACAGCCACTTGGCGGTTGCACCAGCTTAGCTGACATGCGAGTTGAACAGGAGACCTTCTCATGGCAGTAGTGTTCTGCGAATCAACTGGAGAGAAAAGAAGAAGGCAAAGTGAGCGGGGAGCAGCAGTTTATATACCCAGAGGGCTACGCCAAGATCCTACGGCGCTAGGCGTCAGTCACCTCCGTGGGGCTTGCGGTTGCGGCTAGGCAGCGGTTCTCACTCTCACTTCGTACCTAGATAGGTTAGACTCAAATCACGCGCTCGTGAAGACTGTTTGAGTATCAGAGGGGACCAATAGTACGCAAGCATTCTTCGGCAACTCGTCCTTCACTCCGTAGTTGAGCTCCCGATTACGTAGGTCTTGTAGGCAAAACAGTCGAGATCTTGCCTGTCACCCGAAAACAGCTCTTTCCCTAGCTTTCACGATGCTTGGTATTCCCTCCTACCATAAAGTCAGGCACCGCCCTCAGCAAGGCAACCAATTCGATTCCCACATCCAGTCGTTTCCAAGTGATCACCTCGAAGATGGCGCCTGTAAAGATCAAGAACGAGCCGGCCAAGAAGACCGAGGCCGAGATTATCGTCGACCTACAAGAGCATATCATCGTCCTCGAGAAGCGCCTGTGCAAAATGAAGGTGGTAGAGGACACCGACGACAACAACAATAACAACAAGTACAACAACTACTACAACAACGACGACGACAACGACGACAGTGACAGTGACAACAATGACAGCGATGACGACGATGACGGCGATGTCGCTCCAATCTTCTCGAACACCTCCGACACCCAGCTCGCCCTCCGCCTTGATGGCGTCACCCGTCAGCGCGATCAAGGTTGGCCTTGTCGAGAACACCAAGCTCCGCGAAGAGCGCGACCACTACCGGAGTCTCTACATGGGAGTGGTTCGCTCTGCCGGCAGCGCCAACACCAACAGTGTCGGTAATAACAACTTCCTCAAGATCGAGTCGAACTCTACCCACTATCACATCAACATGGCTCAGGATAGCAACCCCTTCAGTGGCTTCGTCAAGGCGCCCAAACTCAGCGAGCCCAGCGAGCCCGAGGTCAAGCGTCCGACATACGGCGACCAGTGTCTTCGCGAGAAGAGGCGCAAGCCTTGTCGCAAAACTTCATGTCCTTACTGGCACCGTTCCCAAGGCGCGCGTTTCGCCGCCATTCGCCCTACTCTCTTCTCCAACAAGGCTGCCGAGAATCGAGCTCAGCGCCGCTGAACGTGGCTGTCGGGGTATTCAGTGGCTATCGACAGACGTTTAGTGAAGCGGCCCAGCACTGAATACCTTCAGGGCGGACTGTGAAGGTAGGGTTGGATTTGGGTTTGACATCGACAACCTCCTCGAGAGACTAAAGGATGGTGTTACTTGGCTTACACAGCGTTGAGAACCTCCTAGGGGGCTATGAAAGAAGGGTGTTCTGGTGCTAGTCTTTCGCGATACCCATTGCTTTGTAGTCTCACTAGTACGAATGAAACTTGCCGATGTACATGGGACGATTGACCAAGTAAAGTGATGTGAAGACTTCGAAGGTGACGGAAGAGGAGATAGCAAATGATCTGATGCCCTGAATGAGCGAAGTGATGGAAGGAAAGACAACGCCAAAGGCATCGCGACAGCATGACGTTTTCTATTAGGCTCATAGGACATCTCTTAGGCTTTTGCGAAGACGTGAGATCCTCCAGGGAGACCACAAAGGCCTTTGCTTGGGTGGCAATGCAGCGATGTCAGCTTCCCCGCCCTCCTCAAAATTGCGATCTTTTCTGAGAGCACAGATCCGATGTAAATACTAGCTAAAACAAACGAGATCCCAGAGCCGGTCGGATGTCTGTGCGACATTACTCAGTCTGACATATTGGGTACGTGCCTCTTAGCTATGTGTTGACCGGTTCACCGGTCAAGATATTTCCAACCAATCAGCACCCTTCTGTCATTAGACACCTTGCGATTTCCTTTCTCTTTCTTGCATTGACCCGAAATCGGTGTACGTCTAATCGTGTCACCTATCAAATGCAGTGAGCATGCTGCAGATGTCCACATGAGTTGAGGTCGACGCTTGACACGACCTTGTCTCGTGTCGCACAGTCGATGGGCAGCGGAAGCAGGCGCAGGCGCGGGGTCGTAAGGCAACATGGGCATCTTCGTCGGGCCTACACGTTTGGAGGCGCACTGCAGCCATGATGCCAGTCTACTCAGAGAGACTATCGTCGACGGCACCAGTCAGTTTATAGATGTAAGGGGCCGAATGTGTTGACAGCGTTCACGATCGTGGCTCCCGGCCTACTGACCGGAGCGCTCGAGCTGGCACGTGCACTATGCGGTGGCTTTACCGGTGAGATCCTCGACAACACTAAAACGCCGGTCACATCTCAATCGGAGCTCAAGCCTTTCGCAATCGCAGTTCTTCCCCGAGGCAGCACGAGGTAACACGATGGAAGTTCTCGATGCGAAAGGTCTCTCTGAGCGCCTGAGATGGGAAGACAATGAGTACTGGCTGCACCTCGAGGCTGAGACTCCGTTTGAGAAGTATCCCGGTAAGTCTGGGAAGATGAGCGTGGGTCGCGCAATCAGCTAACGTCGCGCAGCAAAACAACATGCGCGGAGGGTGCAAGAGAAGTTGGGTGTCGAAGAAGGCTTGATCTACCTACCGGGTCAGCCAGCGAGGAACAACGAGGATAGCGACATGCCAGCGCCCTTCCGACAACGCCGATATTTCTATTACTTGAGCGGGTGCGTTGATCTGGGAGTAAATGAGGACCGTGCTGATGGTATGAAGATGCAATGAACCTGACTGCCATCTGACGTACGACACGCGACGCGACGAACTGTCCTTGTTCATTCCCCGCATCAAGCCTGAGCGCGTTATCTGGTACGGCCGTGGCTCCACCCTAGCAGAGGCACTCGTGAAGTACGATGTCGATCAAGTTTTCTACGCAGATGAGCTTGAGTACGCCGTGCAGGAATGGGCGATCGGTAACCGGCAGGCTGACATCTACGTCCTGCACCAGTCATCGCAATTCCCCGGCTGCGACAATCTGAAGCCCCGTATTGATTCGATAGCCCTCCGATCAGCCATGAACGTATGTCGCATGATCAAGGATGATCACGAGATCAAGCTTATTCGGAAAGCGAACGACATCAGCTCGCAAGCGCACCGAGAAATCCTTGCTAACATCACGAACTTCAAGAACGAGGCACAGGTTGAGGGATTGTTCATGGATGTGTGCATATCGCAGCAAGCGAAGCAACAGGCCTACGATCCCATCGCTGCTTCCGGACCGAACGCCGGAACTCTTCACTATGCCGCGAACGATGAAGATCTCGCGGGTCGTCAACTCATGTGTTTAGATGCAGGATGCGAGTATGAGCTCTATGCAAGTGACATTACCCGCACTTTCCCGCTATCTACTTCTTGGCCAAGCAAAGAAGCCGAGAACATCTACAAGCTGGTCCAGCGTATGCAGGAAACATGCATTAAACGACTAGAGCCTGGCGTGAGATATCTGGATCTACACATTATGGCGCATCAGATCGCAATCGATGGATTGCTGCAACTGGGAATTCTTCACCATGGAACGAAAGAAGAAATCTACAAGGCAGGTACAAGTAGAGCATTCTTTCCCCATGGTCTTGGACATCACATAGGCCTTGAAGTGCATGACGTGGGTCAGGCACAACTCATGAGTGTAAGAAGAGGAAAGCCAGTGTACCAGCAGGTAAGTTCAATCAGTCCGAACATTGATCAGTCGCTAAAAATCTGACAAGGCACCATCCCTTTACCCACAGGATTTCCATGTCCCGGTATATAATTCTGAGACTTGCCTCGCGCCCAGCGATCCCCAGAGCAGCCATCTCGAAGAAGGCATGGTTGTCACTGTCGAGCCTGGCATCTACTTTTCCGCATACGCTCTACAACATTTCTATCTCCCATCACCCGTTCACTCCAAGTACATCAATACTGAGGTTTTGAAGCGCTACATGCCCGTGGGCGGTGTACGCATAGAAGACGACATTCTCATCACCTCCTCTGGTTACGAGAACTTGACTACAGCCCCAAAAGGCGACGCAATGCTTGAAGTCATCCGACACGGAAAGAAAAGTTCTGTGGACGTGCCGAGTTCCGACTTCACTCCATTACGAAGACCGAGCGGTCCCGTTGAGCCAACTCTGCGACGCGCGCCCGGCATTTCTACACATACACCATCACAACACTTACAGAAGCCACTCGCCAGAGCGGCAACCCTTCCGGCAGACTTCGTTCAGCAACGCAACTCAGACTTCGCGCCTTTTGCAGGCCCCTCGCTCTTCTCGAACTTCTCACGCTCAATGACCACGGAAGAAAAGATCCAGCAGTGGCAGCATAAGCGTAGCCCAGTAACGATCGCGCCCGTCCCCTCGGTCAACGCGAAGCAACCGAATCCTGTCTGTGGCGAGATGGATCCGAACTTCCAGCATGTTTACATGAGCAACGCTTCCAGTCCGGCGTTCTCATCACAATCGACTCCGCAATTCGACAGTACACCTCCGTGCCAGAATTGCGCAATCCTGGTACAGACGCTGGATCGGCTGCGTCAAAACCTCACATCCTCTATTCGGAGCTCTTCAAAGCCTGAAGTGAAGGCTACTTCGGAAGCCGATCTGAAGAGCAAGAGCACCAAGCGAGTATGCGATGACGACTCAACAATACCATCACGCATTGGCGAGCTGTCTGTCGGCGCTTCGGCTTGCACCGTAAACCTCGATAAGAACCAGAGAATCCCACTTCCTCCACCCCAGCCTAATGCTAGCAGGACAGGAGATACAAGAGCAGCGCAGTGGGCTAGACGCTCCGGCGCAGCTTCTTGTGCACTTCCAATTCGCGCCCAAACTCTGGACAGCCAGATTTCACAAGCATACTTCCGGGGCGAGGAGTCCACAGATAAAGTCCATCATGTCTCGCCATACCATCAAATCCGCACAACCAATGGAATACCTGGTCGATTCAGGCGTCGTACTCATAGGAAAATTCCCGACCCTGCACCGTCTCCGCAAGCTCCAGAACCGGAAGCTACACGGCAGAAGTTAGAGTCTCTGCAACTGAGACTTGACTCCCTGGAAGAGGGTGCTCGCGTGAAGAGACGACAGCAAGACCAAGCTGTGTTGCCCGAACGGTTTCTCGCCTCAAGACCGTCAATGCCAGTCTTGACGTCCCGAAATCCATGGCAACAGCACCATCGACCTACCGCCGCGAGAGGCTCTGGCGATAGGCCATCAACTAACATGGAAGGTCTCGACGTCGATAGATCTCGGCTCGAACGTCTAGAGGAGAGCGAGCGACAGAGGCGCTTAGAGCGTGATGCATTGACCAGAGATACGTTCTTTTTACGATAATGACACAACGGTTGGGTTTATTTTACCAGCTGCGGCAAAGCCAATTACGTTATTTTTACCTTCTCGGTTTTGCTCTTACATACAATATACGTTTTATTACACTCCATTCATCCTACATGGCCTATCAAATGATTGAGTCGAGCTAGGCGTCCGAAAATTGAATCAATATATGAAGGTGACGGACAAAAAGCTATAGACTAAACATACAGAACGACACAATCGTGTCGCTATTTGCTCTTTGTCTGATACATTCAGACCGCGTCAAGTTGGTAACCGTTCACATGTATATCAACAGCGGTGTGTGCGGAGATCACATGTAAAGACCTTTGACCTGCGTGCGCTTGATTGGTAGCAAACTAGTTCGGAACACGATGAACCTCGGCTTGACTTGTCACGAGCGGTTGTGGTCACCACTTCGTAGTGCCGTCTGGCAAGCACCTTCTAGCTGGTGGCGTTGTTAGGTGTCTACGACATCCTTGAACACTTCGTCCCCTTCCCGCCTGGGCAACTCAGGCGCAGCGGCGTAGAAGGGAGCTGCTCTGAACAAAATACAGGGCGCAGCAGGTCTTATACTAGTAATTGAAAGTCGCCGGTATCGAGGAAACACGATCATGGAAGAAATGAAAGGTGTAAACGCAAGGCTGTTGACTTTAGAGATAAGCGTTGATGTGGGGCGCAAGTACCAACATGGGGTCACCCCACTCTTGACCTAAACCTCGTCCTTCGAAGATCATCCATGGACGTTTCATCCGGTCCTTCTCGCCCTCATTTCGGGAGTAAGCATTGCGACAGGCTCCAACTATTCAGGGTCACTGATTTGTAACAAGTGATCGATCTATGGGTGTTGACGGTAACTGAGGTCAGCGTCGCCCAAGTGAAAAGGTATAACCAGAAGCAATATGGATTATCTGCAGCTATATGCAAACAAATCGGCCCCGATAGGCAGGTGTTTTTAGTTGCAGGAACACAAATACATCATTGGCTTATTGCATCCCTGATGCCATCTCGGCGCATACGCAACTCTTGGACCGTTGCAGCGGTATCTACCTGTGCACAACATACTTCTGTATCGCAATGTACAAGTACCCCCAAAGCCCGACATTCTCGCGCATATCCTACATTCGCTTCTGTGATTTGAGTTCGAAAACAACAGCCTCACAATGAGGATCACATTCGCATTTGCAGCAAACCTGCTTTCCTTCGCAGCATGCGCTTGCGTTCCCGACTTCGCCGACAAGATACTGTCTGACCCGCTGACGCTCCAACATCCGGCAGTGATCGCAGCATTTGAACAAGTCCAGCGCAACCTCTCGGCTTTATACATCAATACCACTCGAGATGGACTCAGCTTCGCTGTTGTACGTACAGGTTCAATCTCAATAAAAGCCTCTTCCCTAACAATCACAAGGTTCATGCGTCAAGCTCAGAACCAGCATATGTGTTCAACAACGGAACATTGAAGTTCAACGAGACTGATGTAGGCCCAACCGACGCAAACCTGGTGACGAGCGACTCGATTTTCCGCCTGATGTCTTGTTCGAAGAACGTCGCGATGGCCTCTGCTCTAGTCATCGAAAATCAGCTCAGACAAAACTCCTCCTCATCATCATCCCTCCTGACTATCGACACGCCCGTCCGCCAATTGCTTCCCTCTTTCGCTCTGCCGGAGAGAGACTGGAATGATGGCGGCAGCGAAATCACACTGCGTATGCTTGCCAGTCACACAGCGGGTATACCAAGAGAAAGCTACAGTACTGGCTTCAACATGATTCTCAGCACAGGAAAAGCTGATTCGCCTACTATCGGAGCAGCATGGGCGGGCGAGACTGCCCAGGATGTGATTGATGGGATAGCGATGAAGAACCTGATGTTTGCGCCAGGGCAGAGGGCAGCTTGTAAGCGATTTCCTCCTGCTAACGAGACGCGTACTGATAAGAACAGATTCGAATGCAGGCTTGGGTATTCTAGGTGGTGAGTAAACATGGCGTACGACTAACGAGAACATGGACTAATCGACCGCTAGCTGCTGTAGCGACATACTACAACAACATCACTTCCTCGTCTCTCAGCTGGTCTGAGCTGACATCGCAGGAACTTCTCCAGCGACTGAACATGACCCATAGCTTCTTTGGCACTGTGCCGCAGGATCTTATCCCAGACATAACCGTACCGGGTGGTGACAGTTGGGTCGATTTGATCGTAGGCGAAGGCTACGATCCAGCAGCCGGCATGTGGAGCTCTGCAAACGATCTCGCCCGGTATATGCATGGCCTATGGCTCACGCCCGAGCCTAGGCTCATCACGCCCTTCCAGCGTCGTCAGGTCATGAAGCCAAGTGTTATACTTGCAGACGGCAAGCAGCAGAGCGGCCCAGGCTGGGAGATTGAAATCTTGAACTTACCGACGAGTGAGAACGCTAGTCAGGCGGAAGACAGTATGAAGACATATAGCATCTTTGGCAAGTCCGGCGATGGAGGAGGCTGGCATAGCTGGATCGACGCCATACCAAATCTCGGTTATGGTATAATCGTGCTCGTGCAAGGATCTGGTCTGGCCGACTACGCAGGTATCTCGACAAGTACTGTCAGAGATACAGTACATGCTATCCTTGCCCCTGCTTTCGCAGAAGCATTAAGCGAAAGAACGAAGGAGCGATTTGCAGGGTTCTACAGCGCTGGTGAAGACACTGGACTCATTGCTGATGAAGTCGCCACCACGCTCTCAAACTCCTCGACTTACGCCAACTTGGAGATCAAAGACCAGATCTTGTATATTCGCTCGCTCATGGTGAACGGTTCATCCGCGCTCGAAGCAATAGATCGCCTGTCCTGGACCGCGGATGCCCAGCCACGCTACTTCTCTACACCGGAAGGGGTTGTCTTGGAGCCGGCGGAGGGCGTAGGCGAGACAGACGAATTTGGACCTGGAGCGCAGGTTTGGAGGATGATCTTTCCAGGACTGGCATCGTGCGATTGGTTCGACTTCGACGGCTATCATGACAGCAATGGGTGGCCTGTGAGCAAAGTTGTTCTTATCGAAACTGAGGAAGGGGTCGAGCTGCACTACCCACCATTCGACATTACTGTGAGTCGAATGAAGATACACAAATGAGATCTCTCATCAAATTTCTGTACAGGTGTCTTATCGTGAGTCGGTGCTATTGACACAAGGCTCCGCTCCTGTATTAGTCAGCCGTCCTCGGCATCGCGCGCGGAGTTCCCCTGTGAACACATGACTCTCCCTCCGCGTCGACAACCTCCGCTATCCGAGTACAACGCCAACCATCTCTTGACATAGACAATCCTACCGCCAGCTCGAATGCGACATCGAAAATATACCCCTGACTACCGTCTGCATCAATTCAGCTGCCCGGGGTAATCTTCGGGCAAATATGCACGCGGCGACTGCAGAAGCTCGCGCTATCATCGATGCCTTCCACAACAATGTAGCCGAAACCGAAAGGCAACAGCGTGAGCTACAAACCCAAGAGAGTGATCAGCACTTCCACGACATGTACAGTCCATGCAACCCATCATCGACGTTCCATGACCTACAGTGTGGCCACAGGATCCAAACGGAGTATACTGCAAGCTGTGGTGTGACCTGTGCGCGACCGATGCAAGGCCAGCCGTTCGTCTGCCCGGCTTGCCTGATCGATGTAGTGCGTGCAGAAGTAGCTCTCGACAGTCTCTCTCTTGGCTCCAGTGATGACGCCGCAATGGACAGCACCGGGCTAGTCGAAGAGGACAGGATACAACACTTCGCCAACAAGTACGTCGCAGCAATGCTGAAGAAGGGCTATCGCGCATGTAAAGCAGTGCTTAAGATTGACGAACCTCGCATGCAGTTTTTCGATCAATTCATGCGACAGGACGGGTTTGGAGGCGTTGAGGATGAGCCTGCAGACGGGATGATTACGAAGCCACGGAAGCGTCCTGGTGCGGGTGGAGGCCATAAACAGCCTGCCAAGCTGCATGCAATACATCGAAAGAAACCCGGGACGTGGGATTATCGCGATCCGACCGGAAACGAACCAGTTCTGGCAAAAGCTGCGCGCGAAGATCCAGGCGATTACAATAACGACGATATGGAAGGCAGTAAAGGGATGACAGACGATGCTGTGGAGGTGGCGCATTCGGGACAATCCGCTGATGCATGTGTCGATCTTGTTCCGCAGTCAGAAGCAGCCGAGGCTGTACTAAAGGCCATGGAAGCATTTGCTAGGCTTTCCACGTGGTGAGTGAGCACGGCAGATCTTCCAGTACCTAGAGATGTAGTGTTTAGAGATCTTCAATTGTATTTCGAATAGTCCCTGAGCTCGGACAAAAGGCCATCTCGGAGTAGACGTTGCCGGCTGATAACGAAGACGGTCGCCCAAAGCCCGATCTCGATAGAGGAATTCGACAGAGGCATCCCCGATAACGGAAGCCGAAGTCTACCTGGATCGTGGAAAACTTTGCCTGAGATGTGAACCAAACAGGGGTCAAAGGGATGCGGGGAGGACGTGTTTGACTGGAGCAGGAGAATGTAGCTTTCTTGCTAAAGTCTGTGCGCTGCCGATGATGTCAGCATTCTTCGATAGATTCCTCAGGCTCAATCTCTAGCACCTACCATGTTCAATCATCATCAACACGCACGTTCATCCATATTCCCGAGCCTTGCAGCGGTTATTGACACTTGACGAACTTCTATCGCCGACATTGCGCGTGCAACGTCTCGTTACGGACGCCTCACTCGCGTGGCTGTCGATCGCTAAATTGAGTTTTGACATGGTAAGTCCCGCAGCGAGCGCAACCCTATTCGAGGGCTGCGAAAATTCCCGGTTAGAAACTGCAAAACGACAAGCATCCGTTGGTCTTGGTAGGGCCTTTTACGCGTTTAGCGGTGCTCAAGTGGTTATTGAGACGTCCGTTAGCCTTAGCCTAGATCCGCCTCTTACTCGCGACGGGAATCGTTCGTAGGGCGACTGCACATGTTCGACACCTCAATGCTAATCTGGA